GTATTATAAATTTTTGTGTCGTCAGCATACATCGAGCAAACGCTAGACCCAGCTTCTGGCAGATCGTTTATAAACGCAACGAATAGAATAGGCCCGAGAACGTTTCCTTGTGGCACGCTGCTGCGCACTGAAGTCCAGTCTGATACGGACCCATTAATACTGACACGATTCTGACCAGAAACTGGCGCACAGAGCTGGGATAGAACCCGCACCTCTCTGCTCCAATCTTGGTACTCAGGAACTTTAATCACCGGGCACTGGGATTGTTCTGTATTTTAAACAATAACTGACTCTGGAACACACTTCAAATCAAATTTCAACTAGCTGTTTGTTGTCTTTTTTTGTTGCACCTTCAAATTTGTTTGTCACTAGTCGAGGAGCGAGCAGAAATTTAATCATGAAAACATGTCCTAGAAAGTTTCCAGAATATTCGGGAGTCGTCTGCATTGCCTGCTAGGTGACTTATTATCAAAGTTATCCATATCATTAAATGATATGTTCATGTTTTTTTCTTATTATTAAATTTAATCCTACAAGAAAATTATACTGAGCAACCTCTACGACACATGGTTACGAAATGAGAAACTCGAAGTTTCCATTCGTCACGGATCAGCTGGTAACTTATTTTATGTGAAAACTGCGTGACCATATGACCTGACCGCCGCTTATCACTAATGTACAGTCTTAGTCTTAGTCTGGATTCGGTGAAGAATGGTGGTTGCGGAGAGTGTCTAAATTTGTTTGTTGCGTGTTATCCTTTATGTCGTTTTTCACGGTCTTTGAGACAAATAATTTTAGCTAACAAATACGTGATTGATCGATCGCGTGAATATTTTATTCATAGGATTGTCCCGTGCAAAATGATTTTCATGGAGATGCAGATCATAGTGGCAAACCAGTAAGTTTTTAGAATCAGTTCATTTTTAATTTCCTCATTTACTCAAGATTTCAAAAAATTTCTTATGTATGATAATTCTGGTATCCAAGATACTTTACTGGTCTACTTATAGGACTCAAAAATGAACTTGAGGAAGAGTCTAAAAACTCTCTGCTTTGCCACTATGATGCAGATGATGTGACGATGTCCCGTCCCGTGCAGACGGTGCCGTGTGCAGTGTTCACTCGTGCAGAACTCACAATTCAGAAGTGGCCGAACAAACGCATGACATTTCTAATTTCAATACTCACTGACCCTGGTCCCTGACTGACTCAGAGTTTCAGGTGCAATGGTTACCTATGAGGCTGTGACAGACTCTCAATGCTGTGAGCCTGTGACCTGTGTCACTGTCAGACTGTCAGTATGAGTTATTGGCAATAGCAAATAGCTAGGTGCATAACACATAAATAATTTTTGCCTTCATGCTTCAACAAAACTTCAAGAATCATTGATGATCAGGTTCACAACTTCACATTTGCATTTTATTTCATGCAAGTGATGCAACTGTGGAAACTGGAAACTAGGAAAAGCTTTAGCCATGTTGGAAAAGTCATTTAGGGAAGCACTAGTCTAGTCTGGTCATTATCATTCATGACTGATGGCCTTGAAGGTAGATCGTAGATGTTTTCCATTCTAGGACTTCTTCTATTAAAAGTATTTGATGATCATTTTAATTGATGGGGAAACATAATTTTACCTGCTAGAAATGCAATTTGTATTTTGTATGCTAATAAAACTAGGGTAAACGCGGTATATTCCGACACATTAAGGACGCATCGATAAATGAAAAACTATAAAAAAAACGTTTGCATTATGTAAGTTCTGTTGGCTTCATGTGACTCCATAGTGGCAAAGCAAAGAGTTTTTTAGACTCTCCCTCAAGTCCATTTTTGAGTCCTATAAGTAGACCAGTAAAGTATCATAAAGGTATTATTGCAGATTAACTACATCCAAAAAAAAGGGTGTTTTTTTTTTTAATTATATGTTTTTTGGGGTGTAGATTACGAATCTGAAATCCATTTTTGGCGGTCGGCATCGGAAAACCGATTTTTTTCCGACCCAAAAATCGCGCTAAAAATGCCTAAAATCTGCGAAATCGGTGAAAAATCGGAAAACATTTTTGAACTAAATCAATCTGGGAATGACTGTAAACCTATGTAAAACCCTAAAATCGCGCTAGGTTAGGTTAGGTTAGGTTAGGTTACGATATAGGCTGCTATTCCGCACCACCCAGGAGGTTTCAGCTTAGGCTCGTTAAGGCTTTAATTTATATACCACGGGCCTTTCCCCAAGAGGCCTATGGGAAATGTTACCCGTTGCACTGCAACGGGTAACATTTTCGTCTTCTTTGTCCATAAATCTGGAGATACATTGCCACATCGAGAGATCACAACCTAACGCCAACTTGCAGGTTGGGTTGGTTCGCCCAGGTTCCTTTTAGATCAAAATGCTATCTAAAAAAAGGAACTTGGCTGACTTAACCCAACCTAAGAGCTTTTTGTAAAATTTCGATGAACAATCCGACCCTAAGACCTAGTGTTTTGGCAGTATTTTGATGCGCAAATGTATGACGTCACCATTTCAACCATCAACAAATGCATGGAACTAAAACAAAGCTTAATATAAAGGAAAAGCTGGAGAGGTGACGGAATTACCCACGATGTCGGAATATACCGCGTTTACCCTAAATTTATTTGGAGTTTGGTGATATATTATAGTTATTATTACATTTTAGAGTTCTAGTTTTTGAGATTCGCTATTTGGTAATCTCTCTATTAGCTTGTGTATAACAAATACTATTTTTCAGATATTGGCAAGGGATTGACTTTTATTCAACAACTAAATTAGCAAGTCAAGACAAATTATTAAATAATGTCTTTGTTTAGTGCCTTAGGCTTAATGGGAGGCACTGGAGGCTTTGAAGAGGATCCATTTTTTGGGTGAGCATGAAGTAATTTTAGTAACACTTAAAAAACAGTTTGTTCCATTCCATTAGGTAGTTATAGAAATTATAATATGATTCTTCAATATCAATATTTGTTGGTCGAAATTGGATCCTGCTATGCTTAGAATTTCTGGGTGTTGGTATTGACCTAAAAATTACAAGCTTTATGCACTATCCTAGAATTCCAAAATGCTGGTCTACTCATTGGACTTCTAATATTCATGGGTGGCCTGACCATTTATTTTTCAACTAGGGTATTTCAGAATGACACTGTTGTCCTTGTCTTCACTGTTGAAGTTATTTTATTAATACAAGATCATGATCAGAATGTGCTGATAACTTTTCCAATGATAACTGTTGCACAGTGCTTAATACTTGGATGCTTAAACTGCCAGGCACTGTTTTTATAATTGTTAAATGTCTTGTTATCTCTTGAAATGTCTCACTCCTAAGAGGCTAAGACACATGTATAACCATAGCATATACATTGGCTGTATGAATGTCTTTTTAAATTGTGGCTGTTGCTTATAGACTGTTGACTCTTTCAAACAGAAGTTGTAGTATAGTGACACACTTTGTGACTCACAGTTATTTAACAACTTGCCAGCCAACAGCTATGTCTGTCACCTAAGTCTGTGGAGCCTGCTGCTGGTTGTATCTGCACAATGTTTAGTCAGAAAAGCAACTTTGTGTGTGAATTTAGCATCCTTATATAGGCAGTTGACTTATAAAAATTAAATTAAATTACCAAAAATCCACTCAAAGTAAAAATAGTACAACACATTAGTAGAACATTTTTGAAGTTATTGATTAATATCAATGCAAGTAAATCTCCCCAAACGACTTGTTTCAGATCGGCATCTGGAATGATGCGGCAGATGGATTCCATGATGTCCTCTATGATGAGGTCGCCCTTTGGTGGTGACCCATTTGGGTCTATGATGAGTGGCCCAATGATGGGAATGATGAGACAGCCACAGCAGCAACAATATCATTTACCCGTCATGGGAAGCCACATGAACAACATGAATTCACTCAGCCTCATGGCCAACCCTATGTCCATGATGAATAACCTCATGGCTAATATGGTGAGAATGTTAGAAAATGTGAAAATGATTCATGTTGGATGATCTTTATTAAATTTAGAAAGAATTTAACCAATGTGAATGAAAATGTATCCATTTTTCAGCTAAATTCCAACTTTGGGAAAGTTTTGAATGTCAGCATCTGCAATTCAATTCCCTTTCACATAATTCAAATGGCACAAGTTCATCCTAATTTTTACTGTGATTTTCTTGGAATTCATGATTTTTCTCTATAATCTCTTAATTTTCCATCAAATTGAAACTGATCAGAAATTGAGATCATTCAATAGATGAAAGCATGGGAATTTAATGAGCTTTACTTTCATTTTTAACTGCTCTATTTAATTTATTTTATTTATAACTTGAATTAAATGGAGACTCTGATTTTGTCTGTATTAATGAGAGGGTTACAAACTTGTATGTCTGCTGGCAGGAGCATGTGCAAGGTGAGAGCAACACGCAGGTGTTCAGCAGCTCTTCAGTCATGTCCATGACCATGGGGCCGGATGGCAAGCCACAGGTATGTCCAACATATTTTGATGATGTATGCCTGTGCCAGATTCTTTGTAATTCTGTCATAGGGCCATAATATCAAAAATAATTATGATTTTGTAACCCCATTAGCCAATTACTGATGGTTTTTCAAGTTAATCCCGCCAATCATAGACAAGAAATAGGCCACTATGTCTACTTTGGCCACTACATGTATATACTTGAGTGAATTTGATGGGGCACCTGGTCATCTATTGTTCATTTTTGAAGTGCAGGGAAGCTGAATGAGTAGATTGTTTCATTATCTTCAGGTTATATTGGAATCTTTTAGTTAACCATCTCTTTTCCTGGAGGGTCTTTGCAAATGATTTGCTGTTGCATGAAATATAAATGCCATGCATACTGGAAGAGGTTTATGATACTAGAAAATTCAGCTCTTATTAATATCAAACATTGCCAGATCAAGATGGCAAACAAGAGTGATGGTGCTCGCAACGTGACGCGTTTTGTGGGTGGTCGTGGCAAGGTTGGATTGTGTCTCTGAATTAATTTTCCATTGCATCCTTGCCAATATACCCTCAAATATATTCCCTGTGTGTTTACCTTATTTCTTATGCAGTGCTTGATTCAATTGAAGTTTACTTTGTGAGGTGAGCTTTCACTAACTTGTTGTTGTGGTTCATCTAATGCTGCTGAGGCATCATGTGGTGGTAGAGGTGCCTTATGAGCTTTTTAAAATGAATCCTACTGCAATAAAAATTATATTGGGAGTGTTGTGAGTGCTCCAACTTATCCCATTAACGAGTTTTTGTCGAGGTTTTCTCTGAAAAAAAAAAGTAAAAACTAAAAAAATAATCTTGATGATTGGTTTTACCTGGCAGTTAAAGGCGCATGCAAATTAGTATGCCTGTTTGTTTGAGATTGTCTTAAAATGCAAGAATTACATTGTTCAGTGGACAAGAATGAATTGGTTACTAACTCAAACTCATAACCTCTTACTTTTTCAGTCTTTTTGATAACTTTTGCAAGCTGAGCATATTTCTGATTCGATTACAAGTTGAAAATATCAGTACATGGATGAAATGTGACATATTTTGCAAACTCAGTTGTTTATATTGATGCAGCAAGACAGTACGGCACATTGACCTGTTTGTGTGCCATCTGTCTGTTGATTTTATTGATGAAGCAATACATACACATTAACACGTTGACTACGTATTGGTACATATGCGTACCACAAAATGTATTTCTCCAGGAGGTAGTGGTACATAATTCAGGTTGCCTAAAATTGGCCAAATCCGAGAACAAAAAGGCCAAAAAAGGCCGATAATTCAATGTATACTAGTTTATTTGTAGGTTCCGCTATAAAAATTCCATTTATTTTCTTTTTGCAGTATTTAGAATTTAATTAGGAAGTACCCCTATCATAAATTTTAGCCGGCCAACGCAATTGAGAAAAACTAAATCACGGAATTTGTCCAGAAAAAATGACCGTCTGGCAACCCTGCTTAAAAAAAGACAAAAATGAAATAATAGCACAAGATGAAGCAATTGTAGTCAACGTGTTAATGTGTATGTGTTATGTACACCTACTGCTACACAGAAACATCAACTACGTTAATGAAACAATCTTGACCTTGTGACAATTGCCCTGATTGTGTCAGGTTTACCAAGAAAGTTCAACGGTGCGCGGAGGCCCTGGTGGTGTGCGTGAGACACAGCGCTCTGTGGTGGACACCTCCTCTGGCACACGCAAGCTCGCCATCGGCCACCACATCGGCGAGCGCGCCCGTATCGTCGAAAGAGAGCAGAACCGCGACGGCGAAGAAGAGAACGAGGAACTTCTCAACCTAGATGAGAGTACGCGAATTTATGTTGAAGAAGCATAGTATCAGATGGTATACTATTAAATATTGAGCTCATGTCTTAAAAGAGACCTAGAAATGGCATATCCCTTTATTTAACTAGGTTGATGCTGTTAATTATTTTCAATGCCCAAGAAGTAATTTAAAACATGATTCGTAATTTCAGGTGAGGCAGACGAGTTTGAACGCGAATTCCGTCGTGTGGCCAGCAGCGGCGTTCAGCGTCGCGCAGCTATAGAGTCGGGGCGCGTGGGGGGCAGCCGACGTGCCGTCACGCCCCTCGCTATCGAGGCTCCACCGGCGACCGCGACCTCTCGCCCAGGCACGGACCGCCACGTGGACTTCAGTGAGACTCGAGGCCACGACACCAGCGACCGCTACAACCTAGAGCGCGTGCCCATCGGCCGCAAGTCTGGCATCGACGTATCGAACTTTGACCGTCGGCCCTCGGACCGCTTGAGTGGAGAGCGCTTCGAGTATCACCGCCCCAACACCAGCTACACTCCGGCCCCTACCAGCTACACGCGCCCCAGCTCATACATGCCCTCCGTCAGGTCTGCTGTTTTACAGTGTAGTTCTTGCCTTTCTTTTGGGTCCTACTTTTTATATTATATCGATTGCTATACTTCCGAGGCATCTTCATGTATGCCGTATTTAAGCTTGAGGCTCGCTAAAAATCTTTCAATGCATCAATGCCTCTTGACTTATCAATCCCGTATTTGTCTAATAGTAAGCTGGTTTATCGCCCAACCAACTGGAATTTAAATCCTCAACCCTCATGAAATCCATGAATTGATGGTTTCAAATCAGTATTTAAGCTGATGCTCCAATGTAAGTGTACCTCAATGGTCTAAAAAATTCCTCATGAATTCGTCAATTGGAAAATGTTCTAAAAGACTCTAATGTTTTTAATCCAGTAGTAGATGATTCTAGAGGCATTGTTCTTGACGTAGCTTAAATATGCTCCGTAGCTGCACTTGTACCTGGAGAAAACGTTTTTATTGTATTTTATTTATTATATTATAATTTGAATGCCGTGTCATTACAAGGCGCTTAGCACATTTCTCTACTTGGCTTCGATGCACGCGGCTGAACGGTTAGCTTCATTGCATGATTTTATCTGATGTACTGTTTGTTCATTTATTGTCAAGCTATGGAGTAGGTATCTGCGTAGAATTTATTTGGGATTGCATGAATCAGTCAGTCTTAGTTTGTTTATATCATATTATGGGATGTTCTATGATGTGCTTTGATTTTAAAATCGATGTGTGAGTACAGAGAGACGTCAGTGGTCCTCACGTGCAGGTTGGAGTGTAGGATGCTTCAGTATGATTCAATAGAATCTCGTTGAGGACAATGTTGACGTATGGAAATAGCATGTGATGGGTGAATGCAACCCGTGACTGTGTGGAGCCCGTGACTGTGTGGAGCCCGTGACTGTGTAGAGCGTGTGTTGTGACCGTGTGTGGCAAGTGTGAGAAGCCCGTGAATGCGTGTAGCGAGTGTGTGGAGGCCCGTGACTGTATGTGAAGAGCCCGTGACTGCGTGTGACGCAAGGCATACCCGCAGCTCCCGCTCGTACCGCACCAGCGGGCTGGGCCGCCCCCTCAGCTCCTACTCTGGCCGCCACTACAACAGGTACTGAGCCGCTCCAATGCCCTCACTGACTGCAATCACTCGTGCCCCTCCGGCACCGCTGTTTCTCTCTTCCTCGTGTCGCTTTGGTGATGCGTGGCAACGCATGTCAATTCCCTGCAAGATTTTCTTCGCCCTCTATCCTTAACTTGCCAACGAATATCGTTGTATATAATTCCTTGCTAGGTTTTCTTCGCGCTCTCTTCTTTACTCGGCAACGCAGATCTTCGAATTCAATTCTCTGCAAGGTTTTCTTCGCGCTCTCTCTTTACTCGGCAACGCAGATCTTCGAATTCAATTCTCTGCAAGGTTTTCTTCGCTTCGCGCTCTCTTCTTTACTCGGAAACGCAGATCCTCGTGTTCAATTCTCAACGAGGTTTTCTTCGCGCTCTCTTCTTTACTCGGCATCGCAGATCTTAGAATCCAATTGATTGCGAGTCTCGTCTACAAATTTCCACTCTGCATGGCTTGCTGTGTGCGTTCTGATCGCTCTAACGTCAACAAACAATTTTCGAAAAAACGAATCTACCTGCACGAAAAACTGATAAGGTATAAGTGATTGACCAACCATTGCCTGTTGCATCTATAATTGAGCTCTTTTTATCACGAGATGAGGAACCAAGTCTCCTAAATGTCTTCATCATATCGACATTGCGTGAGGCTCTCTTGCCTGACGCTTCTGGTACCTGTGGGCCCTGCGTGGAGTGCAGGTGAGAGGCCGTTTCCCCACCTCCACCCAAGTGTGCTGCTGCAGTGACAAGCTTCTTGACCTGGCCGAGTGTTATATATGCCTTCTTTTGCTGCTGCATCTTCGAGTTAACTTAGATGGTGGTGGCTGTGATAATAATTTATCGCAACCATTGTATTGTTGTTTTCTGCAAGTTAACCCGATTATCGATCAATATTTTTAGTTTCCTCAGGCATTGATTTTAGATTCATTGCATGCACTGGAAACCCCTGTCCTCTACAACAGGTGATGTTTGTACAAAAATATTGAGTTTAGAGTTTTTTTATTTGTAGATAACAATGCTCATGGTTTTGTGCATGAAATTTATGTTCTTATTACTCAGTGAATTTTTTTGGAGTTTTAAGATCCTACGCAGTATCTTTTCAGTTTTACTAGTACGGTTGATTATGATAATAGAAACAAGCCTTATATATATATGATGCAATGAAAAGTAGACTTTATATCGATGTATACATACATCATTGAATTTGAGTTCAGTTCTCTTCAATATAGAGTGTTACGATGATATTTTGACGAGGAAGACATTATATTCACGACCTGAATGTAACGTGCGTGCGTTTCATGTAACAAATGTTTTCTGATGAGCAGAATTTGTCTTCCTATCTACTGATGTAGTTTCATAATTAATGCTTGATTAACGTCGCTTGAACAATTTTGTATTCGCTTTGAGGTTCAATATCGTTTTTGGTTTTCTCCTTTACGACAAGATTTACTAGCATTTTTTCCCCACACTCTCGTCTATTGCTTGCCGTTTGCCTTGCATTAAGTGGTCGGTTTATAGCTTGCTGCTCTTTGCTCATGCTGCAGGAATCGACTGAGACTATACCATAACATACGATACTGATTGTGCTGTAGTGCTGCTGAGCAAGTCGTAATCATACCATTTAACGATTGAGTGATAATGTTGCATATAATTACTTCTCTAATGGATGTTTATAATTGCAATCTCGAGTATTATGCTACACATCCCATAGTACGTATGAACTTTTTGGAACATTTCTCCAATTTGTCTTTTGATTTGATTAGTCATCTAATTTGTTGTCTTTGATGTACAGCGGACGGGAGGGTAGAGGCGCGCACCCGTCTAGGAGTCACCGCCGCGCCGGCCCCTACGACCAGTGAACGGCACCACCCGACCTCCCCTCCCCCCGTGCTCACCACCCCTCTGCTGCTTCTTAATTCTCATGCCATTTCTGAAATATTTATATTTTTTGTTTTATTCCTTATTCTTAACCGTGCTGACCCTCTCTTCTTATTAATATTTTGTGTATTTTGCTGTCATCAGTTTATCCTCTAGATTCGTCCTATGATTGACTACCACATCTCGTATGTGTTCTCTGTCTCAATTCTATTCTTTCTCTTCCATTATAGTTTCTTTTATGAATTTCATGCTATACACGGCTAAAACCATGACCTACTAAATTTTCATAGTTTGCATTTCAAATAATACTATTTCAAATAATACAAATGCATTTCAAATAATATTATTTGAATAAATAATATTCAAATAATACGATCTAATAATGACAATTTTGTAATCTCGAGACGTTAGACTGGCAAATCTATCGTGTCTTTTTTGCTCCTGGATCTCAATTATTAGAGAGCTTATGCACTTACACACTATCGGGTGTCATATAGGTATGTTCTTTCGTGTACTTCTAAATGCATTAACTTGAAATCTAGGTTACTATTATTCAACTAAGTAAATCCTTACTGATTTATGTTAAACTGGATTCTAACGTTGACCTCTTCTCAGCCAAAGCTAGTTCTAGGGAAGTAAACATCATTGATACAGATTTAGAGCCAGATTGTGGATATGATGACTGTGTCGTGAGTTGTTGACATCAGAAATTAACGTTCAACGTCTGTGGTTGACAGGACTTAGGTAACAGCGATAAGCCTATTAATACAAGGCGTCGTAATTATTAATCATGATACTTTATGTGTAAGTGTAGGAGAACTGGATTCAACTGTCTATTATTATTAAAATCTATTGTTCTGCATGGTTATTTTACGGAGTTATTATGTACGAATACTTGATTATTCTATTCTAGCTTGTTTTGAATCTCAAAATCAAACATAATGATTCGAGCTCAGGGTTTGTGTCCTGTGTGTCGATGCGGCAGTTAGGTTGTTTTACATACACGTTTGCTTGTTATGCTACGATACACGGCTTCCTGTTATTTTACGAATAATACGAATAACGACGGACTATACAGTCTGAAATAAGTTTTTTTTTTGTTCTTTTATTTGCTGTGACGCTGTAAGGTTCTTAGGTACAGGCGAGAAATGGAAGACCTAGCCATTCACTTGTGCATTGATGCCCCCCATGCGACATCATCAACGTTATTAACACGATCACTATCTGTTCATTTAGTTCTGTAAGCTTCTCTTGCGTCGTATGACGAGACGAACTAGGTTTTCAATGCAGTGATTATGTATATTTTTGATCGTCAAAAGGTGTTGACTATCGGCGTCTTCGAGACAATGGTTTTACCCATTGAAGGTGCGGTACCTTAAGCGAAATACTTTTTGAGCGAGTTGAAGTAACACCTTATTTTAGATGGAAGATTGAAATCCAAGGTCCTTGAATGTTTTATTTGATTTGCGTTACAACTTGAAAGTTAAGTATGAATATGGCCACAGTAATACGAGTTTCTGAACGTTTTGTGCGTTTATTTATCCTCACATCGGTTGCCAAGAGCAGTTTAATTGGTTGAGTTTTTTTAGCGCGGCCAGTTTGTATTTACTGGAATGCATTTCATCTTCAACTGTGACAATGACTGCCGGTCAAGTTACGTCTCTGAAACCTTAATGCCAGATTTCAGTGCATCACAGGAACAAATATTGCAGATATTGTTCAATTTATTAACTTCGCATTACAAAACTTCTTGTGATCGGTGCATGTCCCGGGATTGTGCAAGTCGATACTCTGATCGGCCGAGCATTTCCTCCATACCAAAGGATACTTAGGCTACCGCAACCTATTTTATTCCTTTTAGTCCTCAACTAAAGTACAGTTTCTTGACCAGTAAAGCGTTTGTATGATGTACAATAGTTGTTCTGTTTGACCACTTTAATTAGTAAATGGCATCCTTTCTTGAAAAATCCGTTTCCTTTCCAATTTCTTTCGTTAAAGATAAGGAACATATCAGTAGAATCTAGTAAGAATTTAAAACAATTTAACATCAATCAAGAATTGGCAAGACATTTACCGCTCGATAAAAATGGGGCGTGAAATTTCCAGACTCTGAAGAGCATGGCTATTAATGGGCTGAAGCCTCAGATCAACAATATTGTCAAACACATACAGCAAATACTGAATCAGCTCAGCTATCAGGTGTAACTGACACATCCAATAAGCGTTCTAACTATTTAAAGTCTCATCGGCTTCGTCTATTATACAAAAATCCATGATTTATGCAAGCATGTTAGTGTCAACTTTTCTCCTGAACACTCTTCTGGGAATTGGGAAGTTGCTCCAGTGAAGATAAGTCCATGAGCAGCATCCGCAGAGACCCGTGTAGCTGGGACAAAGCACTCACGCAGCTCTCCTAGAAAAAAAAGTGAGAATAGCGCATGCAGGCAGGTACAACAAAAAACATAGGAGACTTGTTAAGATTTCGATGTAAAAAATAAATCTAAATAATAAAATAAATAAATAATAAAATCTAAGTAATAAAATTATAATAAATATTTGTTTTTTAATCGTCACCAAAATCCCTGGATTTAGAATTGGAAGGATACTTTGATGCACGATTTACTCGGCAGACACGGCTATTTAATCCAAAATCCACCGCGCCATATGATCAAAAAAACTCAAAAAGCCAGATTCGATCCGGCACTGGAGACTCGCTGCATTTAACTAAATTATTTACGAACTTGGATCTGTAGTAGTAGTAGTAGTAGTAGTAAAAGATTTACTAGCGCTTCAGATAGCTATCTATTTCGCGCCGGAGGTGAGGTCTTCAGCTACGTCAAAGATGTTTGGTCTCTTCCGTCTTCAAGGCTTATAGCCTGATCCATTTTAGGCGCAGGGGCTGGGCGGTAGATTCCTTACTGGTTCAGTTCAGTCAGTAAATCTTCGTCGGTATAGTTCGGGCGGTTAAGGTACCAGATCGTGCCGCGAGTCTCATTGAGTTTCTCGTGGGCGGCAGCTGTAACTGGTACATTGGCTAAAGTCTTTATGGTCGTTATGGCTTGGCTCTGTTGGTAGTTCGCTACCTCAACAAGGGATCGCTACTTGGATCTGTATATGTGATCTTCTTTTACTGTTAAAACACGACATTTGATCTTGTACATTTTATGATTTATGAGGGATCTTATAATCCACTGTGTGAGTGAAGGCATAACTATATTGAACCAGGGGACATCTCACTATAGTGGAAGGCAAGCAGTTGTCAGGGCAGCGCTGAACGAGGCTGGCATTGGTGCACGTGTTGTTGATGATTTGACACAAACCCTGTAGTAGCTCCTCAAACTCACTGAAATAAACAGGCAAAGAATCTAAATTTAAAATGTTAATCTAACGACAACACATCAATATGCAGCAGTTGAGTGCAACTGTAATTAAGACCAGATAGCATCAGAAACTGAGAATGATAGGTAGTATAACCCAATCAGATCAATAAAAATGAATGAATGCAATAATTATGCCTCACATGAAATTTCACGCAGGAGCTAATTTAGGGATGATTTAATTTAAAAACTGGTATAAGCTACTCCATTTTACTATGAAACTTAGCATACCTATCACTTGGTAACAAATTTATCTGCAAAAACCAAACTTTGCAGATACATAGAGCAATATCTAAAGTAATAGAATCCTTGAATTAATTTGATGAAAATGATATTAAAATTTTTTTTCATCAAAGGAAAAAGGCTAAAAATATGGTGAAATGACAATTTTTTATGAAGATATGATGAAACATACCTACCAGTGAATATGAGTGCTAACACTAGGAGCATACATTTCATCAACAAAAAGAGTAGCCTTTTTTGGGAAAAAAGTTTCTTTATAGAAATAATTATGAATTCTTCATTGCCAGTAAACCATGAGAACTGACCGGTGGTGCTTGCGTGGCATGGTCAGGCAGGAGTGAGCAGGGGGCTGCTGTAGGTAGTACAGTAGCAGATCCCTCTTGCTGCTCAGGCTGGCCAAGTGGTCCATGGTTACAGAACACCAGCTGATTCGCTCCTCTGAAACATAGTACTACTTGATATTTTGATCCACAAGTCGTACAAATTTAATGTGTGCTGCATTTAGCCAAAACACATTTATAGAAACAGGAAGTGCACTCAGTCTATCGTTTTTTCAAGTACACAGTATGGGTATATACTATATACAAACTAAGAATTAATAAGTATCAATGGACCAATGACTTTCTAGCTGAAGAAATAAATTTAACTAATGATTGAATCAGCAAACAATGAATCAATTTTTATATTGCATCTGTGTTGCATCTGTATCAACACTGTTGGTGATTTTTGTTACAGTCAAACATGAGTGAAAGTAACGTAGGTAAGGTACCTATCGCAAATTTTACTGTAGGTACATAGCAAGGCTTAAACAAACATTCATTGCAGGTTGCTGTCGTAATACCTACTTCACTTAATTTGAATAAAAGTGAAATGGAAAAAAAGAATAACAAGAAAAACTAAAAGTATACTACAAAACAAATAGAATTAATTTTTCATAAATTATAGGTACTTATAAATAAATAAAATTAGGTGTTAACTTATAAGGTCAATACAAAATTCTAAGTTGAAATAAATTCTATAAATTAGAAACCTCATGTGAATAATTATGCCTCCAAGAGACGTTTTCACTTCATACCACATCAAGATGAGTTTTTTAGTCTGTAACAGTATTTATAGTAATTTAAATTACTTTAAGATAGCATTGGAGCATTTAAGAAAGCACTCGTGTAATCATTACTCATTAGTAAAACATTCTTGATGGTAAATTAGTATAAAATTGCTGAATCTCTTTGTCTTAATACATAAATTAATGCTGCAACCTACAATCAAGGATTAATACCTAAATTATGTATGTTGAGCAGGTTAGAAGACTGCTGGCTCAGTCTGGCTTGATGCAATTTGTTCTTGGCCTCGTGAAGTTCAGAGCGGAGCTCATGCAATCTGGTTAGCTGTTTGACAGTTTTTGTAACCTAACAAAAATATTAGTATAGAAATATATAGTGGTGAAGTGTGGGAAAAAATTCAAATGCAAATGATGAAGCCAATACTAATGTCAAGACAAACTGACCAAGGGGGTTTTTTACTGTGACCCAAGAAGTTATACATTTTTACTAGGCACATTGCTTAATAAATTCTTTTAAAAAAATCTATAAAACATTGAATGAATAATCATAGCACATATTAAAAAAATGTGATATTTACAAAAGAATACCTATTATAAAAGATAACAAATATGATTTCTCTAAAAAATATATACTTCATTGTATAAAGTAAATTAAACACATTCAATGACAATTGTGCACTTGATGAGAAGATTTGGTCCTTCATATTCCATATGCTTACCACATCACTTGAGGAAATCTTATCTTCTTCTTCAGTCCAAGGGAAGCAATCCTCAGCACCAGGTTGAAGATTTAGTGAGTCCCCGATAGCATCTGCTGGTGTGTAATTCTGAGCTTCAAAGCCAAACTGCTTAAGTGTGTTGGCAACATCGGCATGAGCATAAATCAAAACATCCATTGGAGTCATCATGATGTACTGAACCATTGAGGCAGACGCAGGCAGTAAAGAAAGTGCCGGTAATCATAAATTTTGATAGATCCTTTCCCGCTCAAGTTTTCATGTTAGGAGCAAGAAATAAAAGAACTATAAAAGCACAATTCTGCATATGATACGTACATCTAATTCTATTTTTAATCTAATATCATCACAGCATGTGGATATAAATATAAATACACTCAAGAGTTCAACATAAGATTAAATAAAATTGCTGAAAATATCTAAAATACCATAAAATGGGGTAACTTAGACTCCCGGGGTAACTTAGACCACTTTTCTTTTCTTAACAAAAACCCTCAAAACTCAAAAACTATTTGACATAGAAAAATTTTGTCAATGGCCATTAAAGGCCTAATACTGAGGCTACATAACACACTAGAAAGATTTAAAAAGTTTGCATATCTAATAGGTTAAAAAATTAAAATTGTGACCCACAAAAAAAAAACTACCGGTATTATTTAAAGCCTGTCAGAGTACCTCCTCCAATCTTTATATATTTTGGTAAAATAACTCCAGGTTTGATGCATTGTAGTAGAACTCTTCTAGTTACATATGCAAATGACAAATTTTAGGAAAGTGTCATAGTTAGTAAATGGGGGGTGCCGCCTGCAAATGGGGGAACTTAGACTACCTAATGTCAGCCCTGACGGGGTAACATAGACCGGTTTGGAAGTTAATATAAAATTACCATATATAACATATTTTATGTTTGACAACCTATTAATGTTTTTTCTTTATGTTTCAGACTCTACAGTCTTATATATGGTAATTTTAACTTAATTTCCAAGCCAGTCAATATTACCCCGTCAGGGCTGCCATTAGGTAGTCACAGTTCCCCCATTATGGGGTGACGCCCCCCATTTGCAAACTATGACACTTTCCTCAAGTTTGTCATTTGCATATGTAACTAGAAGAGTTCTACTACAATGCACCAAAACCAGGAGTTATTTGGAGTTATTTTACCAAAAAAATAATTGATTGTACCACGCAGTCTAAGATACCCCAAGAGCTGGGGTAACAAAGACCATCACTTTTTTTGAAATTACATAAAGACTATGAGAGGCAGGAGCCAGCAATTTATGATGAGGTAACCTAGAGTATAGACCTGCATTTTGCATGTTTCAATTCAAGTTTAATTTAGCAAGTAAAAAATTGCATCATTTAAAAAAAAAGCGGTCTAAGTTATCCCATTTTACGGTATAATGTTTAGCTTGCCCAATTATATAAGATATAGTCAGTCATATGACTCATATCAGATATATAATATATTCCTGTTAATAAGCTAAGAAAAAGAATACAATCAACTTTAAATGAGTTTAGCCATCAATCATCATACAGCAAAAAACACTTAGAGGAGAGCCAAATACATAGCCAAAAGCCAATCCAATTTGCTTCAATGCTAACATTGATCAGTTATCATTTCCAAGAAATTTGTCATTCCTAATAATGCATCAAAAACTCGGCAAAATAGTATTGTAACAAATCTTCTCTTAATTGATTACATCATACATGTGCAACAAACAGAGATGGGCAATGCAACTTTGAAATGGTGGGGGAATTTCCTCCTGGGGGCGGTGGAAAGATCTGTGGGGGCCTCTGGAAAGATCTGTGTTTAACCTTTCTCTTTCAAAATTGCAGCATACTAAATATAAAGAAGGAGGCATTTGTTTTTATATGTGTCTGTCATCAGGGGGGCACTAGAGATTCACTGGGGAGCCAAGGGGGGTGCCAGCCTGGAAAAGTTTGGGAACCACTGCTCTAAATGTAGCGGGCGCTATCACTACCGCTACAATTGCTTAAATGTAGCGCCACTACTGCTACCGATAATGTAGCGACCGCTACAAGTAACGCACTACTGCCCACCTCTGGAAACAACTGACATGTTGACACTAGTAACAGGCTGAGGTTGACAACATTATACCAAAATCTTTTGTGCAGTTTTATTCTGTAATTTATATTATGTATGTATCATGCTGGTTTTTAAATAATATTTAATACTATTAAGTAAAATCTAAAGGCTTTATCTATAAATGTAGCAGCAGTGCTGTAGCAACAAAACCTTGTATCGCTACTTAAATATGTAGCCAGCGCTACTGCTACAGCTACAATTGCTTAAATGCTGCACCGCTACTGCTACCACTACTGAAAATGTAGCGCGCTACTGCCCACCTCTGGCAACAATCAACATCAGTATACACTTGCAGTCTCTGCTTTGTCACTTTCTCTCATGGCAAACTGGCAAAGCGTTACTGGCTTACAGCCAATACTTTTTTAGACTCTACCTTCTTGATTTCTATGCATAAACCACTAAACAGAGTAAAGTAACCTGGAGTATGGACACCAACCGTATCGAAAGATTTACCTTTTCCCACTTATTGAAATCTCATGTCCCATGTCACCAAACCAAATGACACATTTCCAGCCTCCAGGAATTAGTAATTTGAGAGCCGAATCATTCACTTTTGTTAACAATTAGAATGTAATTCATCAAGCAGGAATCATAAGAAAAATAATATAAAAAGCTCTAGCCACTAGCCAGTACCAGTAGCCACAGCCAGGCATGGAATATATCTACTTGGCAAGCCATGACTGAATTTTTCAGTCTGATTTTTTATGGATTTGCCAGTCATCATTCTGCTTCTTTGAGCCATGATTCCATTTTGATGAGTCATAATTCCCTTTTCTTGAGCCGTGAATTCCATATCTCGGCCATGAAAAGCCATTTACCAGCCGTGAGTTTATTTACGAAGTCCATGCATGTCTTACACCAAATCTCTGATTTTACCCTAAAAACAATTGAATAGTGGAAATGGTGGGAAACCTCTAGCATAGTGGCACAGCACTGATTTTTAGAATTAGTTCATTTTTAATTTTCTCATTTACTCAAGATTTAAACCTATTTTGTATGTATGATAATGCTGGTTTGAGTGGTATCCATGATAGTTTGCTGGTGTACTTATAGCCTATACTATAGGACTCAAAATTGAACTTGAAAGTCTAAAAAACTCTCTACTTTGCAGAGAATAATTAGACAGTAATTATTGCTGTCTATGACCTCTAGTTTTCCCACACTTGGCTTGGAAGCTACCATCAATTGATTCAATTCAATGCCAATAACTTTGCCCATAGCAAAGGTTACTAGCTAGGTAGCTATTACTATTAGGGCATAGTCATAGTGACAAGTGACAAACCACATACCGGTATTTTTTAAAATCAGTTCATTTTTAATTTTCTCATCTACAGTTCTACACTACAGAACTTCAGCTACTCAAGTCTCAAGATTTAAATTTAAAACCCATTTGTTATGTATGATAATGCTGTTGGCATTGGCAAAGACTATACCTAATTCATATTTCATAGTATAAAAGCAGAGACGTTTTAGACTCATCCTAATTTTTGACCCCTAAAAGTAGCTAGACCAGGTCACCAGTAAAATGACTGAGTAAATTAATATGGATACCAGCATTGCCATGGGCTCACAGTCACAGCCAGTCAGCCACACATGGCAACAGTACCCAGCCTTCAATTGGACAACAATTGATAGAAACAATCTCAATCTATCTTCAGTGACACATAGGCTGCCATTTTGCAAATACTGCATTTCCAAAATTACTGCAAATATTGCACTTAGGGCTGCAAATATACATAAAAAACTATTATACTCAATATACATATACTGGTCATGAGGAAATAAATACAAATAAACTTTAAAAACACAACCGAGCATAGCAGGAATATTTGTCGTTTAAGTGGTCAGTGAACTCAATCAACAATTCTACGGACCCGCCTGCAAACTCGCCTGTGGAGTGTGGACTAGCGCAACTGGGCTGCTCATAATTCCTTCAATACTCAACGGATCTGTATGAATTTTGGAATGTGAGTATTAATTATCAATACGCTACCGCAGGATTTATTACAGATTTTTACATGAATTATTTTTTAATTACAATTAATTACATATATATATATACAATATTTTCTAAGTAACTGGGAGTCGCATAGTGACAAAGCAGAGAGTTTTTTGACTCTCCATCAAGTTCATTTTTTAGTCCTATAAGTAGACCAGTAAAGTAAGTATAATGGATACCAGCATTATCATAGGGTAAACGCGGTATATTCCGACACATTAAGGACGCATCGAGAAATGAAAAACTATAAAAAAAACGTATGCGTTACGTAATGCCAAGACCTAGTGTTTTGGCAGTATTTTGACGCGCAAATGTACGACGTCACCATTTCAACCATCAATAAACGCATGGAACTAAAACAAAGCTTAATATAAAGGAAAAACTAGAGAAGTGACGGAATTACCTAGGATGTCGGAATATACCGCGTTTACCCTACTCAAGAAATTAGTTCAAATCTTGAGTTATTGAGGAAATTAAAATGAACTGATTCCAAAAAAGCTCTGGTTGGCCACTATGACTGGGACACTCATAATTCCTTCAATACTTAACAGATCTGTATGAATTTTGGAATGTGAGTATTAATTATTGATACGCTGACGCAGTAATTATTACAAATTTTTACATGAATTATTTTTTAATTAAAACCAAGAAACGTATTTTTTAAGCAAATTGGACACTCATAATTCCTACAATACTCAATGGATCTGTATGAATTTCGGAATGTGAATATTAATTATTGATACACTGCTGCAGGAATTATTACAGATTTTTACATTATTTCCTAACAGGCTAACCTAACCCAATCCCAACCTAACCTAAAAATAAGTCATGTAAAAACCTGTAATAATTCCTGCGGCACCGTATCAATAATTAATACTCACATTCCAAAATTCGAGCAGATCCGTTAAGTCATAGTGAGTAGTGACAAACCTGTCAAACCAGAGATTTTTTAGAATCAGTTCATTTTCAATTTCCTCATTTACCCAAGATTCAAACAAATTTCTTATGTATGATGATGCTGGTATGTGGTATCCAGGATACTTTAGGTACTGGTCTACTTATAGGACTCAAAAATGAACTTGAGGGAGAGTCTAAAAAACTCTCTGCTTTGCCACTATGCTTTACTTGTCTACTTATAGGACTCAAAAATGAACTTGAGGGAGAGTCTAAAAAACTCTCTGCTAACTGCTTTGCCACTAAGCGTGACAGTTAAGTCTTAAGTGTAGCCTATTGTTGAAGGAATTATGAGTGTCCCAGTTGCTTAAAAATTACGTTTATTGGTTTTAATTAAAAATAATTCATGTAAAAATCTTCAATAATCCCTGCGGCAGCATATCAATAATTAATACTCACATTCCAAAATTCATACAGATCCATTAACATCAAGTATTGAAGGAATTATGAGTGTCCCAGTTCACCAGTGGTATTATTGCAGATTAACTACATCCAAAAAAAAGGGTGTTTTTTTTTTTTTAGGCATTTTTAGCGCGATTTTTGGGTCGGAAAAAAATCGGTTTTCCGATGCCGACCGCCAAAAATGGATTTCAGATTCGTAATCTACACCCCGAAAAACATATAATTAAAAAAAAAACACCCTTTTTTTTTGGATGTAGTTAATCTGCAATAATACCTCACCAGTTACTTAAAAAATACGTTTATTGGTTTTAATTAAAAAATAATTCATGCAAAAATCTGTAATAATTCCTGCGGCAGCGTATCGATAATTAATACTCACGCTCCAAAATTTATACAGACCCGTTAAAAGTATTGAAGGAATTATTAGTGTCCCAGTTGCGCGAGTCCGCTGGCGACTGAGTGGCGAGTTCGCAGGCGGGTCCGTATAACTGAATCGCGTATAGCCTAATTGTCGATTGAGTGGTCAGTGGCCAACTGGCCATAATTACAATTAGGTACCACCGTACCAGTTGTAGGGTATGATTGTCAAATAAAACTTTCAAGTTTTTTCAATCACACGAGAAAGCTGAGGGTCAGTTTCGATTAAAAATATTGTTCATTTTCAGCGCCAGCAACACAAGTGCTGTGCTGCGCTAATAGAAGTGGCGTGACTGGCGTCATGCCATTGACTATTGAGGCATGACGCAAGAAATAGGAATTGGGTGATTTTTCAAACGTACCTCACAGTACTGGAGGAAATATTCCTCAAGTGATTTCATCATACAATGCTCCTTTTGGAAACTTTGATCCCATTTTATGGGATTTTTGTTTCAAGTTCAAACATTATGAGATTTTTCCCATAAAGTTTTTGTATAAAAACGGATATTACAGGTTTTCAAGAAGTAAAATAGAATAATTTTGATCCCCGATAACAATTTATTATTTTTCTCTCTGTTTATATGTATTTTCTTATTTGAAGCTCGTCAGTAATGATGGAAGGAATTTTCGTCCTCTGCATTTTCCAGAAATCACAAATTTTGTGTTCGAGTGCTGCGTCACTATCAGCTGGGTGAAGTGTATATAAGCCAGTGTTTGGGATGTTTCGAGCACAAAGTTAGCCAACGCTAACGTATTCAGGTGTTTGCTAGTTGCCACCATATCTGCTGTGAGACTGTGAGTACAGGCTGAGGCACAATGTCAACATACTATTTTATTTTCTGTTTTAGATGACCTTGATGATATGTTTCCCTTGAAATAAATTTCATAACTAGGCCTATTGTTCCTTGAAGTTTTACACTTGAAGGCTATTCCGCTATTTCTGGCCTTCTGGATTATACTGGATAGCATAGTAGTGGATACTGGAGAACTGAAATATACCTATCATTACTCAGTCATTAGTAATGCTTGTTGAGTTGTTGTTAGGAGTTGTCACTTATGTGCTTGATCCTGATTCCTGAAAGCATGCTAGCCTAACTTGCTAAAATGCTAATCTAAGCTGTCTGCAAGACTGCAACTGTATGCTAAGCTAAGTAATTTGGATTCTGGAATATATGGCTAAAGTTTCTTAAAATTGTGGGTATAATAAGTGTTTTATGAGTAATTTAATAATATTGCGGGCAAAAATATTTTTTCCTAATAATTATAAGGAAATTAGTCAAGGGCCACTAGATTTAGTAGATTAAAATTTTCCTACACATAAATTAAATATTGTGAATCCAATGTAATCAATTCTCAATACATTTGTAATCTTGCTGCCAAATTGGGAACTTGAGAAGTTTTATAAGAAATTAGATGGGATCATTGGGATGGGAGTTGGGAGATAAGTCATCTAGTAGGAAATAGGAATCTTGCAGCTCCAAAAAACAGCAGGAACCAGAAAGGCTCTAATTGCAGCTTGAATGGTAGCTTGGTAGGTATTATCTATATTTCATGCTGGTTGGGCCATAGCCTATAGTATATTAGGAATATGTTAAATTTACTGCAGTCTGCAAGCATAAGCATTTTCCAGGTCTCATACAATGGCAGTAGTCGTTGTAATTTCAAAGACTTTTGCTGAAGTTATCGACCAATTTTTTTACTTTACAACGACTTTCGAGCTAAAATAATAGGTCATTTATCTTTTTCAACGACTGCCAACTAATGGGACTCTTTCACAATAAACTTCTGACGACTGCCAACAAGCGACTTAGCGAGACCCGACAAGATACGACTGCGGTACTGACTAAAACCCGGACCCCAACAGCGCATTACGAGCGGCGGATGTAAAATGTTCAGCCCCGGGACNGATAAGAGTAAGGTGTGACCTCCGTATTTTAGGGAAAGCTTGCATTTGTTTACGCACAATATTTACGGTGAGGTGAAGCGGTGAATTCATTAGTAAAGAAACCTAAGAAGGCACTGCTGGTTTGAAAAATTAAACATTAATGCATTATCTGTTAGGTGTTTGTTGTATATAAAGAATATAATGTACATAGACTTAAGGTTATCTCATTATTAACGACTAGTCACTAGTGTTTTCATTGTTAAGTTATCGAACTACTGAAGAAACCTATCGACTATCGACTGCATAAATCCTATCGACTATCGACTGGCATGCGGTTGTTCAACGACCAGATGACCTTGAGATAAATTTTACAACGACTCTTGTGCCACACTATGAGACCTGGAGCATTTTTGTCTCCTTCATGAGTGGCCATAGGCCATAGCATAGCCTCTGCCAAATTTTCTTGTTTGGAAGGCATGAATATATATAGCATATAGCATGAAATATATTGCATGGCTCAACATCAATGAATTCAATCGCCTGTAACTATCATCATCTTACTATGCTGTTGCAGAGGAAGGTTGTGTGGTGGCTGTAGCCTTACCTAATTTTTGTCATGAGAACTTGAGAAAATTATGGATATCTTACTCTGTTCTTCATACCTACAATTCTTTGAAGCAATAAATGAAGAAGATTGGAATTTGGGAAACTGCTTCTTTTTACTAGAAACTAGCTGTGTCTGGTTTGGTGCTAGTGCTGCTAACTAGGGAAATAAGAGACTTTGCAATTATTTTTCAATAATTTTTCATTTAAAATCAAATTTTAAGTAATCACTAATCCCACATTAGTTGTTCTAGATTTGAATCAATAGATTTTTGTATTAAAGCATTTGCAAGTAAACCTTGATATAAAAAAACAATGTATAGGTATGATTTTTGCTTTCTGCCAATCCTGATACTTGCTCATCAGTTGTATGGCACTGGAAACAATTAGAACCCATATATACTATAATGAGTCTTTGTCAACTTATATTTAGTGCTTTTACAAAAAAGTGACAAAAGGAAATTTTATCTAAACAGATTCATTCATCACAGAAGAGTCAATTGCTCAGAGTGTGAATTTTCTCTCAACACTGAATTTGAAAGTTTCTTCAGACATTAGTCATGGAATTGCCACATATTGGAGAACACTGCAGTGAAGTGGCTTGCAGACAGCTTGGTAAGACATAGACAATAAGATAAAATGTCCTGATTTGTTTGCAAGTACGTTGTTCATGATAATGCTAATATTAATATTTGCAGCTATATATTATGACAAATGTCATTGTTATAGTTCATTATGAACATTACATTGCTTTGAATCTATGCTGATATTCTCATGAAACTGTAAAAGTTCTAGATATATTTGGATTTAGTTTAATTCATAATGTCGAAGTTCAAACAATAGTTGATGTCCAAGTAATTTTTCATTTTCAATACCATGTATTTTTCTATGTATATATTGCATATTATGAACCAATTTTACCATCTTTAAGAAAGCAAAGAGGACTAACTTCTCTCTTCTGGAAAAAAATTTTTTTACTCCTAAACAAAATATATGCATATGTATGTGGCTCATATGGATTCATGATAGATTTTTTTTACATATTTCCTATCTTTAGTAATATAAAATTTTTTATGTTGCTTGCCAAATAGTTCAATTTATCACTGGCTATGATAAGCATCTCTACTGCTAATGGTTGGGATAGTTGCAAGAATAAATGTGTGGCTATTTAGCCTAAAATATTTCATGTGCAGACAACAGGCTTGACCATGTAGCCCAGGTTGTTGAAGTGGTAATGTTCACTGGCAAACATACTAACCTTCTGGTGATCAATTATTATTATGACTCCTTATTTTTATATTCATTATGTCCTGAATTTATTAGAATTAATCCCTTATTCTAAGCACATTAGTCTCCATTCATCTCCAATTTACTGCATTACACACTTGTATTGCTGCAGTAGCAATGGCAAGATATCTAATACAGTAGGTCCTTCAATTATACATAGTACAATTAGTTGATTGTGTGTTCACTGATATAAATTGCATTAGCTGCTTCATTTTTTGTTTAATATCTTATTTATGACAATAATAGTATATATATGAAGATAGTCTTCTGTATAAAAAAAGATGGGGGAACATTTCTTGATTTCTAAATGAAAACCAAAAGAGTGGAATTTATCATTAAAGTCACCTGAGCCAGAGCTGTAGATAGACTTTCTAATTTGCTTCCTAGCCCAAAGAATATTTCAAGTTGTGATGAAAACACCTGAACCAGAGAATGCCTGAACAAAAATTCAAAAATTGCACAAATGAAATATCTTTACATTATTTTGCAATGCAATGCATGAATTCATCCCCAAACTTAGCAAAATTCTTATCTAATGCATGTTTTTTTCAGATTTCTTGCCGTTCACTTGTTCCCACTGCAAAAAGATATTTTGGTAAGTTACTTCAAATAACTGAAGGTTTCTTAAAGCTTCAGCTGCTGCTAAAATTTTACTAATCATTAATTAGGTACCTAGTTTTTCAAAATTTGCCTAAAAAAAATCTATTTATCCTCCTAGAAAATGCTCTATTCTCTTAGTTACTGGTAACTGAATAATTTTTGCCTCTCATTCAGTTGTAGTCTTTTTACTATATATCTACTATTTCAGTACTTATGCATCTGCACAAAAGACAGAAAATTTCAGTTCATCTGCCACTACCAGTCTCTGTGTTTGACAAGGTTTTGCTCCTAGAATATTAAAAAAAATGTTCCAAGTGTTAGACTGGGTAGAGCATTATTTTGTCCTGAGCTCAGGACACACGGACCTATTATTATATTCTTTCCCTTCATGATGCATTGTAAATACTCAGGCAAGAGTCCATTCCTTGCTCTAATTTGTTGACTGGTTTTATATGAAATGATTGAATTATCAGATTTCCCTGAAATAAAATTTTATATTTTAGAAATGATTATTTCTGCATCTTGGTAGGTAGAATTTAGTAAATTTCAGCTACAAATGAATCTTAAGCAATTAATTAATTTTTATCCACATTGATCAATTGATTGAAAATGAATGTTAAAATCCTTATAAATCTCATTTGCACCGTTGTGTATTTTGACAGCCTGCAGCACCACAAAGTTGCCAACCATCACTGCACAGAAGCCAGGCTCGTGGACGTTCAGGTTCCGGTGTGTCCACTCTGTGACCAGGCTGTGCCTGCACCGAGAGGACAGCCTCCTGACATTGCAATCAGCCAGCACTTGGACAACAACTGTAAAGTTAAGAAAGAAAAGGTAACCAGAGAACTAAACAGTTTGCATGAATGGCATTAGCAAAGTCATGACTTGCTCAAGGCCCTTCTTTCCTCAGTGGGCATTTGAATCTTGGGAGAAGCATCAAAAAAAGTATGATTATTCAGGATCGTCTCCCTTTTCTATCAATGTATTTAAACAATTCATTTTTAACTAATTTATACAAAAGAATATAAACTAATTTATTAACTCAGCTGCTATTATATATACCAATACAAATAAAATCAATGCTGCATACCTATACTTTGTTTACTTGTTTACTTTTCCTTCTAAAAGGAAGCCTAATTGTGGGAAAACATCTCACAGATTTTCACAAACAAATGCTGTTATCGTGGCTGCAAGAAAAAAGAGATGATGCCCATCGAGTGCCGCGACTGTGGTCTGAACTTCTGCTTGTCTCACCGCCACCCAAACGACCACACGTGTTCCAAAGTGCGCCGCATCAGCAGCACCGCTAACACCTCAGCCCAGGACAACTTTCCCTCACATGGCTCCTTTCTGCAGTCTCTCAGAGACCAGGCGGCGTGAGTAATTAAAATGGGTTGTGGAACAGATTGTGTGGGTGCCTGCAAACATCGTAATGCTTGGATGGCCTACTGTCAAAACTGCTCAAGTGCGGCGGATTGCGTCATGTAACGGCCGATTTCACATCTCTATGAGCTTAGATTGAAAAGCTGTTAGTGACTGGCTGACAGAGTAGGGAGCTTGTGGCTATTTTCCACATTACGGCGCCTGGACCTTTAGAAAGTCGGTTATTGTGCCTCTTATTAGAATCAGTGCATCAAATTGTCATTTTTAATCCAATTTGTGTTCTGAAATCTGTTCTGAAAATCTGTTCTGAAAATTAATATTTCTGTTGATAATGCAATAAGCAATTGCTGCTAACTGTTGAAATATTATTCATGAAAACAATCGTATAAAATAATTACCTAACAAATTCAGTGCTTGCTTTTAGGTTCCAACAATTAGTATGGCTGTGTCAAGCTTCATGTTTCCAAAATTTAGTTACTGCATCTCCTTTTACTGAAATGAGTGGAATTTATAACGCAGAAATCAGCAGCCATATTTTTTTATGTTGCATTATTTGTTCCTCTGAAATGAAGTCACGTAGGTTACGCTGTACAGTGAAGCGTGGCAAACGGTTTAGTAAGTGTGCTACCGTCGCAATGGAATTACTTACCATCATTTTCTATAGTAGATCGTTTCACAATATTTTTAAATGGTAAAACCAAGTTTTTGAACAACATCATGCTGATTTTAATGCCATATTTATTGCACCCTTATTTCTATAGTATCATGTTGATCGAAATGTTATGTTTATCATTTGCCTGCCGCTTCGATGTCATTCATGCAAGGTATGGAATAGGGGCGAGTGCTGTCAAATCCTGTTAATTGCTCATAAGCTTTTATTTTGCAGAAAACTTAGCTGCTTCCACTCTTAGCTGCTCATCTTGCCCAGTAAGATAGCTGCTCGGTGATGCCTGTTGTTGCTTACACTACAGCACCTCACAGCTTGTCTGAATGTTATTTTCACGAGAAATGTCAGACATTTATGCGCATGCATATATGATTTGTATCAGTTAATCGTTCGATCACTCATTTGTTTTGTCCTCATGCACATAATTAACAAATATATAGCTTATTAACTCTGCAACTTCCGACTAGGCAATTGAGTCTCATAACAAATAATGGCTTGAATTTTGAAAACAGGACATCTCGATTGCCATGACATTTCCGACTGACCCACATACTTTCTAGTAAGAAATAGATTTACTCAGGGATAGAACTTGCAACTTGTATGGCACACGTTCGCAAATAATCTAAAAAGAATTAATTTCACTGCTGGTTCCATGAAACGATCGCATTTATTAGCCGCTGATGTCAGGATCCCAAGTTAATTTAATGTTGTTTATGATATCGCCTATAGCTGAAGTCATTATAGCGCAAGCAATTTATACAAAATATTTTTTTACCGCAGTTCCCGCCTAAACATTGTGACTAGATGCATAGCTTTAATGAACTTTTATATCATTCTTAATGATTGTGTCATGATTAATGAGCCAAAGGATCATTGAATCCTGCAGACTAATTGTAAGTATCATATAATTGATTATGAATGGGCTAATACTTGAGGCGCACCCAGCATAAGGCGAGACACTCGTTCTTATGCTGTCAAGTCTACTCGGTCTTTCAGGTCCCTGAGTCGCAGGCTCGAGCAGTGCAGTGCTTGCTGCTGTTCTTGTTTAACTCTTGCAAAAATTATTTGCTGAAAAATGACAATTTATGATATTTTTTACATTTTTTCGTTATTTTTATATTTCAATTTTCTTATCTAAAAATATTCTTGAATTAGAATTTTATATATTATTTTGTATTATTATTCTTAAGTGATAATAACAGCGTTTCTGTTTTGTACATGAAGAAGCACAAGAAGCACATTCATGAAAATAAAACGAATTTTGATTGCTTTTTACATTTTGCATGCAAAAAGTGCCTATGCATAGACATACAATATCTTGGCTGAAAAAATGGGATCTCAGCGGATGGTAATGTTACTGTGCAGAAATCGGATCCGAGAAACAGGCGTCCAAATTCCCAGCAATGGTCAAAGAATGTCAATTACAACGTAATCTTCCTACCAAACGCGACGAAATAAGTCGATATGAACGTAATCTTCCTACCCAACCCCATAACATAAGTCAATTTGAACGAAATCTTCCTACCAAAGGCGATGAAATGAGCCAATTTGAACGTAATCTTCCTACCGAACGCGACGAAATAACATGTTAAAAATTATTGCATGATGTTTTCATTGTTGACATTATTTTTTCACTGCGCAGTGCACGCTTCGGACCGAACCCTTTCACTGCCGTCAACAGTAGCTCCTCTCACACCTCGGGGGGCGTCAGTGCTGCTGCTGTATCCAGGATACAAGCTGGCATGGTGGGTTGTCATGGACTCGTCTTGAAGCAAGTTGTGCAGTGAAAAAATTTCGTGTCTAATGAGGAACCCGGAGTAGAGAATTGTTTGTCTATTAATAATTGTCTACATTAATGTTGATAATAATTAATAAACTTAATTGGTGACTAGAAATTTCTGTAAATGACAGAATGTCGATATGTTTCTATTTTCCTTTTCAATCTACTAATTAAATTTATTTCCGTAATACGAAATTTTCTAGTGCAAACAAAATGTAAATAATCAAATAATATGTGACTAAATAACGCTGTACTGACATTTCAATTGGTGATCCTTTTTAACGTGCGCATGTAATTATATCAATAAAGATTTTCTTCCTGAAGCATTAACTGAAACCTAATTAGTAATTTCGAAGTCCACGATAATGTTTGGCTAACACTCGGCCAACTTAATAGTGGTTGGCATTGAATGAGTTAACGTAGGCTATAATGAAAAAAAAACACACATACATACATACTGTGCGTTAAAGACACGATGCTTGACGAGATAGGGCAGTTATTACAAGGAATGAGTAAAATTAACACGTACAAGTGTTGCAGAGTGAAGACGAGGCGCTGGCGCGAGCCCTGGCAGAGTCTGAGCAGCAGGTGCGCGTCGCCACGACCACAGCGCCTAGCAGCAGCTCCCCCGCCACGCCTGCTGACGACGACCTTCTGCTGCAGCAGGCGATCGCCGCCAGCCTGCGCGACACACGCGCTTCACAGCGGCGCTCTAGTCAAGACTGCCGGCTCTTATAGCACAACGCTCCTATACTTATAACTTATTTATAACCTCCTCCTCACTCCTTGGCCTTCATGAACACTGGTAGTTGTAATCATTACAATTAACGTCTTGATGTTCTATTACACAATGAGGTGGTGCAGCTCTAGCTAACTGTAACGGTGAACGCGATGCCACTAAATAATTACTAATAATACAATAAATAACGGGTCCTTCAGCTACTGAAGTTGCAGTGCCTGCATGGCCAGACACGCTTACGCTTGGCGCTGCTGTGGCAACATAGAGCAACATCTAATACTTGTAATTTATTTACTTATTAAGTTGATGTTATTGCGATACGGTTTGCAATTTTGTGCACAGACATAAATTTGGGCTTGACATGACGACCTGTTGGGCGGTTACTGCCTCGTATTTTATTAAAATCTGCTGAGCGTGCGCTTAAATTCAATTCTGTTGCGAGTCAGGATACCACATGAATAAGTTTCAAATTACTGGCTGGAGTTGTTCAATTATAAAAAGTTTCGATTATGATTTTTTATTGTGGATTCTTTTCTAATTTTACTAACAACTATTTGATGTTTAAGAAGCGATTAATATTTGAAAATTATTGCTGCACCACAATGCCCTTCATGTTAACTCATCACTTGGTGCAATGGAATTTGTTGTGCCATTGCAGTGCACTGCACGGCCACTTGTTACCCATTGCTTCTATGAAACTATTCACAGTCATCTACTACGAAACTACTCGGCGCATCACCTTGTGCGAGTATACTAGAAATTATCGAATTTTTTTTTCTGATTTAATGTCGTGGGTGTTTTACCCTCGCTCGTTCTGCTGAGTGTTTTTACTGTCTCGCTTCTATGAACGGAATAACGCGTGTCTCTGTGCCAGTTTATTCTTATTTTAGACGGCTGTTATACAGTACCGAACTCTGTACTGTATCTGTAATTACTGTGTCAACATGAAAATGTAACTATAATGTTGTTCATCACTCATTTGAATGAATTAGCTACTAAGAATATTTTATAAATGGATATATTTTTCATGGCTCTTAATGGCTTGTAGATATTTATGCAACAAATTGTTGGTTTCATTGTTCCAATATATCCTAAAAAGAAATAATATACGTTTAAAAATTACTTTTTAAAGACAACACTTCTAAAGAATCCAGTGTTTCCAATGTTACAGATGTACAATGAATTTCTAATTTTATTTTCGAATATTAAAAAATTAATTTTTTTAATTTATTTCAATATATAATTTTTTTTTCAACATTATTTATTCTGTCAATTTATTCATGCATTGCCTCCAACTTCACACAAGTGTGCAGAATTTCAGGTCAATTGGACAAGTAAAAGTGTGTCAAATATCAGTTATAAGATTTGTAGCTGACAAAATTATTTTTTCACTCTTTTTAAAATTGGAAAAAAAACATTTATTTTAATTTTTAAAATAATTTATTTTGTCATTTGATTCTTGCATTGTCTCCAACTTTACGCCAGTGTGCAAAATTTCAGATCGATAGGATAAGTAGAAGTGTGTTAAATTTCGATTATAAGACTTGTAGCAGACAGACAGACAAACAAACAAACAAGAAGTGAAGTTAGAGAGAAGTGTTATAAAAAAGATAATCTGCAATGCGTTTTGTATGTCGATTGCGTACAAACGTCTCAAACAAGCTACCAGAAAGAATTTTATTCAAGTCTAGTTTATACTTTTGATTATTTGAAAACTCCGCAATGAACTTGTCGGTCTCTGTCTTTGCTACTCTTGACATGGGTAAGTAATGGCTTAAAAGCTACTGATGTGTCGAGTTAATATAGGCTGCAACTTATTGGTATGGGGGATCCATCTACGTTTCTTCGTCTTTTATGTCATCTTCGACTCGTTAGCTGTCTTGAGGATATCTCTTTATTTTAGTCATACTACTTTGGTAATAAAACACAACATAAACGTGATGTTTATGGTAGTAAAACCAGTCTGCATCGCAAGACTTGTTTGATAATTATATGACGAGTGAAAAAATCAACTACCACGAAACTTTAGTCTCAGTTGCTAAATCTGCTTGAGCAAACAACGAAAACGAATACCAACCAATGTGCCTCAATACAGTTAATTTCTCATTATTCTTTTCGAATTAATTTTGGACAACGGAGGTGCTGCCTGAGTTTGAGCTGAGTAAAGCTCTTGTATGCAATATCTTCTCAACATTTTTTCCTATAAATGACATATTTTCCTTGATCGTTGTATCTAATACGTCTAATTTACTGGAGTGACGTTTTATTTTTTAAAGACCATCTTTGCTCACTCGGCTCGCTAGATAAACTTTGTCTTGTTTATTTTGGGTATCTTTGTTAGCACCTATGGAGGTGACGTTTTACTGACGCTAATTCATTATTTTACTTGGAGATAATTATCCGTCTTCTTGCCTACTTTGTCATATCTAAACTTTTCAATTATGTGCCTTGTGATAACTAGTCTTCTGACACTTCATCACTCCTGTCATCTGGAAAACCACAGTAATCATAGCAGCGATTGCTAGTGAGATCCTACCACCAGTGCCAGTGAGTTTGGTGATCGAGCGAGTAGAATATCGAGGACAAATTTTGTCCAGTAACCTTATTCGTATTTCGCTGTCCAATTGAATTATCCTGTAAACTGAATATTAATTTTAGGTACTTCGTGAACAATGCGTGCGCTTCAACTTGTCAAGAATATCTCTCTGATCTTGGATAAGCATTTCATCTGAAAATGATGTGAAAAGTTTTTATAATCATTTGTAGCGTCTGGGGAGAAGCAGTTTTTTTTTAAGTAAGGATGATAGGAAATGAAGTTAAAGTAAAGTTACGTTCTCCGAACGCTTCATGTTCTCCGAATGTAAAGCTTCGGGTAGCTCTGTTTTTTCCACTTTTTTAAAATTCTTTAACTGTTTTTTTCTTTAAAAATCTGCTTTCTCGTTTGAATGTACTAGAAATTTACTGAGCATATTTACACATTTTTCCGTCCTGTCTCATGAGGCATGTTGTATGTCATCAAGTCTTATAAAAAACCTTTCCATATAAAGTAATATATAATTTCAACTTTGTTTGATATGAATTATCCTTTTAGTGCCAAATAAGGTTTTGCGATTACTGGTTTTATGTGGGGTGCGCGGCGTGAGCGAAATGAATCACTTAACTAGCAGTTAATAGATTCTCTTACATGGGGTCGTCTGACGTTTTAACGTAAATCGTTTTCTGAGGCAGTTTACTGTAACTACCCACCATCGAGCTTAGAGTGTCATACTACGGGTCTAAGTTATGAAGATTATCTTAGCGCTTTTCTACTGTCATAAGATTAATAGCATTCTGCTGTCCTAGTTTTTTTACTAGGATTCTTAGCGTTTGTCATTGTCTACTATATCTTGAGTGGCTGACGCATCGTGTAAGCGACCTGTCTGTTCTGTTGCTGCTCTCTTGTCCGTTGTTGAAGTCTAAGAAATGCACCCGCTCATATTTTTGTCGACGAACTGATCATTTACCTCTTAACACCCCCCCATGGTGGTGGGTGGTTAGTGATTTTTATTATTTAATTCCTGATGACACAGGTCTGCCACCTTGTTGATGCTTGTAATTTTCTCAAGGCACTGGTGCTAATAGGCTTCTTATGTGATTTGTTAGTAAACCTCGGATCTTGTTGAGAATAAGCACTCCAGTTTGACCTTGTTAATAAAACGCTCCCCAGTGTAAAGCTTTGTGGAGAATAACTTTGTTGATCCACCCTTTCAGTATTAACCTTTTCAATTAAATACCTTGTTAAGAATATGCACTTCAGTAATGATCTTGTTAAGAATACGCACCATATTAACATCTGGGGTGCTTATCCTTACAAGATCCTAAACCTCTATACTACTTTTACTGCAAGGAGTGCGAGACACCAAACTTTCCCGGCTTCGATCTCGATGTCTACAAATATAATATTCTCATTCTTGAAGTGTTAATGGAAAACTGCAATTAATTTTTTCACCCAAACTAATAAAGTTGAATTCTAATCATGAATTGGAATAGAACTTGATAAAGTACAAGTAAGAAACGTATTTCGGCTTTGTTATTTAACAATAAAAACTGATTCCAATTTTTGAGTCAACATTCGTCAGTTGCCTTGACAAGTAACTTTTATTTTCTGGTAAAAAGTTCGGCTATCCAGTTAATTTTTTCTTGCGTTAATTGTTGCTTGGTGTCTCGCGCAGGGGCTTGGACACACCCCCGGTCCTGAGTCCTGGTCAGCTCTCTGATTCCTTATTGCTAAAGCGCTAGTAAACACGTGGCCACTAAACTAAAACTAACTAAACTCGACTACCTTAAAATAGTGTATTCCTTGAAATATTGAAGTTGACTGTATACACCATATAGCATATAAATACATACTTAAGTTCGAAATAAAAAATTTTCATGTCGTTTGGGGAATATCGATCCTCACCTGACGGAAAATTCATAGCCATCGTCTGGTATCAGCATCACGTTTCAAAATTTGCGTAAAATAAAATGGCTTATTGCTTATTAATAGCGGCAAATGTTTACCGTGCAAATATTTGTTCCTAAGTCGTTGGGATAACATGGCAGAAGAGGTTGACCATGTTAAGGAAAGCTTCAGGTCCTCCACTGTGACGTTTATATAACGCATTCTTCTTGGCTCCCGAACTCCACCGTGAGCTCGTCTTGTCTGACGCCTGCCTTCGTGGTGACATGCCTGCCGTGGCACGCCCTTAGACGGAGAGGGTTGGTGCTCGGTGCGCATCATGGAGGCTATCTAAATAACATTCAATTGCAGCTAATCTTAAATGATTTGTTCTTCTTGTTAAGGAGATGATGTTTATTTGTTATTAAAATGAAGAGTAGAATAAGGCAGTTCAAATTTAATAATATTATTATCGTCTTATAGTTGTCAGGAGATCAGCATAGAAATGTAATTCTGTCTTGTTAACATCATTCTGTCTTATCAACAAAAATGCGGACCTCTTTGACTACCGTATACTCAGTCGAATTCATTTATCAACAGACATTGTAAAAGAAGTGGAAAAATCATTCAAGTCAATCCTCTATTTAATCTATGTGCGATGACATTGAGTCAATTTTCAAGCTAATGCTGATTTCAAGCAATTTATTAATATGGATTTATTAAGAAAAGAAACGTGTCGTGAAGCGGTGTTCTCCTCGTCCAGCGACGTTCCATTTTATACAAAATATACCAGCATCAGATTTTTCTGAATATTCACCCGCTCGTGGTCGGTCGAATATGAGTCAGCGTTTCGATGGTACCGACGTATCATAGGTACGTAAAGCTCTGATACACATTGAGGCTGCTGCGACGCATAGATGTGCTCACGGCGCGTCCACCGGTTTTTTCTTATGTTGGCCTTCTGCTGAAATAAATGTGAGTGTCCCTGGTTTAGTTTCACTACCTCGAAGAGCTGTACAAGATGGCGATACGGCTATCGAAGAAGAGGCGCGTGTGGTTGCTGCTGTGCGTGGCTTCCCTCACTCTGATGCTGCTGGCGGCGACCAGGTGGATGCGTGGCACTTCTGGCCCTCAGCTGCACCCCTCAGCCCTCACTCTGCACTCTCGCAATGCAGGTGAGTTCTCAGTCTCTACCCTCTAGCAGTAGATGTTATTATCAAACACAATTTCAAAATAAAGAATTTCTAGCCCGAAGTTATTCATTGTTTAACAGAATCTGCATTAATTGTTTTCTTGTAGCTACACTTATTTACCCTCTGTGATGTCGCGAATTCGCACCGATGTTGCCATACGACTGACTTTGACAAATACTTGTGACTAATCGCTTGTATGAACTGGACGGACTGTAAGCGAGCTTTCAGAGTCTTCCAGTTATTCCAAGTTGTTTACACAGATTAACAATTGAATTTGATGAAATGTGCGATACGAGTATGTCTCCAAGGTAAAATTCATCGAGTTCAATTAATTTTCGAAGGCATAATGTCTTATGATGCATTCTTCAGGTGCTCCAATTGCTTGGGTGCGAGGCCAGAATCAACACACAGGGTATCTGCGTCACGTACACGAAGTGCTGAGCTTCCTTGGTTACACGGTGGTGAACTACACCGACGCTGAGGGCCTCACGCAGCCCTGGGACTTGTTGTGGTCACACGCTTACCCTTTCAAAGAGTTACGACCTTTGATGCTAAGACTACAGCCACACCAACGAGTTAATCACTTCCCTGGCTCCGGGTTCATCAGTAACAAAGTTACCTTGGCTGAAAGTGAGCTGAAGTCGGTGCCGCACGCTTTCCGTATCCCCAAAGATCGTGAAAAGCTGCTCAATTACGCCAAACTTAACCCTGCTAAGTTGTTTGTACAGAAGAGCAACAACCATCGAGGTATTGCGGTCAAACCTCTCTCTGAACTCGACCTCAGCGCTGAAGGTTCATTCGTCCAGGAGTTTGTCCACAATCCGCTCCTCATCGATGGACATAAGTTCGACATCGGGCTGTACGTCGTTTTAACTTCCGTGCGTCCATTGCGCGTATACATCTACTGGGGCGACGTTCTTTTCAGGTGATTATAGTCTTTATAATGAAAGCTAGTTTGCACTGAAACCTCTGAGCGATATTCCTCCATCTGGCGATAATTGAAGCTGAAGCTGTGAACTCACTAAATTCTGAATGAGTGATTAACACGACAGAATTTTTTTATATTACGGCTGGTCGTATGTGGTCATTGAACGAGCTTCCCCAATGCCATAGTCTTAGTAAAAGAAATATACCTTCTAGGACACTCTAGTTTCAGATCGATGTAAACTGAGCTGAAATATTTCGATTGCTCACTCATTTTAGACCATTCAATAAATAGCATTGCAGTTAACGACACCAAACAAGTTAAAGGTCAGTGTCCTGTAACTAACCTCAAGGCTGGACGTTTTAATTATATCGCCGTGAACTGAACCATGTTATCATGTTGATTTTTTTCTCTTCAATGTTACTATCTCGAGATTCATGGTTCAGGTTCTGCCCCGAAAAGTACCACCCATTTGATCCCGCTGTGAAGGATAAGTACGTTGTAGGTGACGACTACATGCCTACGTGGAAAGTGTCTTCGCTCATCCCGTACTACACACTGCAGGGCTTTGGCATGAAGCAGTCATTCGATGCCTGGCTCAGAGATCAGGACAAGGTTGGTCTTTTTCACTATCACTCCTCATATCTAAACTACAGCTCAAGTCTTACTCCTGTAGCTTTTATTGCTGGAAGATACCAGTGCGAAATTTTATTCCTTTCTCCGAAACTCATCCTGTTTGGAATGTAAACTCATTGAGAATGCGGTCGCTGCGATTTTAGCGTAAAATTTTCAGTTATTTTGTTTGTTTAAACTTCATTTTAATGGTGATGTCTATCTTATAGTCCAGATCTAAAGTCACTGTGGATGCTGTTCAGAATTGTCTCGTTAAAAGCTCGTAGGAAGACGTCAGCTCTCAAGATACGACATTTATTTTATTTATCATGCTGCCTGCATGCAGCGATGCCCTAAGCATCCCACAAACTGCACCTGTTCCTGTTCAGGACCCTGAGCTGGTGTGGAAGGGCGTTAGAGACGCCATCTCCGAGGTCTTCTACGCCAAGGAAGACGCGATCATCGGCGCCGTCCTCAACTACAAGCGCCGGCACAACTTCTTCGAGATGATGCGCTTCGATCTCATCGTTGACGCCGACCTACACGTTTACTTGATGGAAGCAAACATGTCTCCAAACTTGTCTTCCGCGCACTTTAAGCAGAACAAGCTGTTGTACCGCCAAGTTGTTAAGCATGTTTTGGGCGTCGCCACGTTGCCCGTCAATGAACTGATGGCCGCTGCCAGACTCAGATCAGAACATTTGACCAAGACCGACCCAAGCGTCGCTGTTAATTTAGAGTTGTCTGAAGACCAGCAAATGAATGCAGCTTTTAAGGACGTAAGCGTTTTTCCTGAGCACTGCGCCACCAACTGCGCCGGAGATGCCAAAGGTTCCAGCGACTCGAAAGGTTCTGACTGCGATGACGTGTCGTGCCAACTCTGCCAGCGCTGCGTCAGTTCAGAGCTTCTACAGGAGCTCCTGCGAGCTCATGGGGAGCACCAGCGCAGGGGCATGACCCGCCGCCTCCTGCCGCCCCCCATTACGCCCCCCAGTGCTGCACACACTCCAGCCAACATATCGCACATCAACCCTGACAACACGCTCATCACTGAGTGGTTCAGAGGCAAGTGCTTGCTGGACGACACTTTCTGCTCGTAGTTGAATGATAGGCACTACCTCTTCGGACCCTGGTTTTGCAGCGATAATATTGTCGATAAGAAATTCAAATATGATGCAGCGTAAACAGCTTCAATATCGACTCTCATCATATGCTTTACTGAAATTGAAAAATAGTTACGCGACTATGTGGAATTCGATTCGAGACGACAGAAGTCAATGTAAAATCAAAGGAAATTGAACATAATAAAAACGTTACAAACTTAGAGAACTCGGGAGCTCAAAACAAGCCACTCGACGAGATACTCAAACCGATGTACTCAGAAGACAATAGTGTTCTTGTCAAAGAAAATACTGATCTTGAAATAAGCTCGGAATTATGTGTATATTATTTCTCGAAGTTGAAATCGTCACTGGCGAACTCGATATTTGTCAAAAAGCAGTTTTCTAGTGTGCGAATAAGTTAGGCTCATTCCAGTTTGGATAGAATTCCGGCTTCCTCATAATTTGTATTGCGTCTTGTATTGAGTACTTCAGTGTTTTACTTTTTCTGGACCTTGACTTAAATGAGATTAAAGCGAGGCTGCTGAAATTAAGGGTACCATTACTTCATCTAATGAACTCCGTGAATAATTTTCTTTAAGAAAATGGACATAATTTATAGAACAATATAATTTCAATGTGAGAGTCGATATCCGTTTCTGCATGAATGAGATGAGTTTGAAATATATCCTGATAGTGGCTTTTTGAAATAAATCCTGATAGTGGATAAATAATGAGTGATAACTCATGAAGCCACTGAGCTTCCACGAGTGGCAACTCATGTTAGTTGTTATCTCGACTTCGTGGTCTTTAATTATATCAAGTTAGAGCTTTTAGCTGTTTTTTTTTATTCGTCTTATACTTTTACTGATAATATCAGGTAGGCTTTAGAATTTATATACATAATTTATTTATATAATCGTGATGTATTTTCGTTAATTTGGGCGCGAGTACGTAGGTCCTCTTTATTCGAACATCCTTCGACTAGAACAATTTACAATCCGAAAAAATGGGTAAATAAACTTTATTTATATATGTTTATAAATAGGCCTTGTTGCGGCGTCTGCAGAAATTCTTCTCAATAAGTTCACCTAATTAGTTATTTCGCTATTTATTCCCAACTTTTTATAGATTTTTTGAGATTTTGGATAAATGTTACATCGCTTGATCGTCACGGTATTTGCGCCGTGTGTAAGCGCTGGATTAGGTTACGTTTTTTAGTTACGCTTTTACGTTTTTATTGCTCAATTTATGGTGCTGCAAGTTTTATGTTCTGATGCATGTTAAGCTGAGTATAATTATAGTGTAAGGATAACTCTGTTGCACATGAGCTATTATATCTTAGTTTATTGTGATATGTTACGTTTAAAGTCGCAAGAATGGAAGTACTCATATTATTTAGTTGAACATATTTTCCCCGTGGCAGCTTTTTGTGTTAGCTCTCGATTGCGCGATTAGTTTGAATGTCCCGTAGGTAAAGCATTCGACATGACCGACCTAAGGCCAGAGGTGACCAAATTGGGGCTCGCCACCCCAGTTCAACAGGCCGAGTGACATCACTTGAATTGACATGATTAACCTTCAGAAGCCGTACTAACATAAACACTTACGAGTTCCTAACTCCGTCAGCCTATCAGCGACGGCTTTTCAAACCAAACTTAGACATCACAGACTAGAGATCGGCAGCTACGCGTACTTACGAGAGAGTTTTGATATTACGGCGCGTTTCTGGTTTGCAAGTAACAAGCTTTTTCAGGATAATTTCGGTCCCTGGTGTCTTGGACGGGTCTGAGTTAGTAACAAGTTTGGGAATTAAGTCCTTTGCCGTGGGAATTACGGAAGCTACATCACGGTAAAGGACTTCACTCTGTGGTCTCATTTATCAGTGATGAATAATATTCGTAAACTTAGAATCTCTCGTGTTTCATTTATTATCGACGAATGCTATTTTTTTATTAGCATTTATCTACCAAATTTTATTTTTAGCATTACTTGGAATATTCAGCAAACTTTGATGCTGGTAAATGTTATAGCTCTGCGGCTTTGTGTGGGTGCGAAGTAGACGCTATCATATATTTAATATTTTCGACTTTCAGACAGCTTCGAATTCTGTGACAGAATCAAGCAATTATTTCGTCCATCGAGCTTTGATTTCGTTCGACTGTCAATAGACTGACGTTTCTAAAACATGTGCCGGTATTTATCGAAATGTCGAGGAAAATTTCATGCGGAAAAAGACTTTTGAACCAAACATGCACTTACCTCAAAGGTTTTATCCCCTGTTAAAGTAAGCGTTTACAATGTCATTTTGGGTTTCGTGTTTGCAGCGATTACATATATTTTCTGTGCATTCATGTGTCTTTAAGTTATAACCTTCCATGCAATGGCTACAAGAGTCGAAAACTGTCCCTAAAAGGGGTAATGTTAAGTAACAGTGTTCAAGTCTTCATACTTTTTATGCATCTCAGCGTTTGTAACCTAATATATGAATTATGTGCCTTTGAGCATTATACAGGGTGTTTCAGAATTAAGTAACCCTTTTAATTTGTTAATAAATAAAAAACTAAGAACGTTATGAAGTTGAAACTTGTTTTATTTAAAAGAAGAACATTTTTATGGTAATATTGTATCCTAGTTTTTAAATATAATATCTTTTAAATGCCCACCACAATTGTTTTGACAAAATAGGGCTCTTCTCTTCGTTGCTTTCATAACCTTCATTAGTGTTTCTGACGAGAGTGCAAATTTTCGATAAAGATATTTAAATGTGTTTTTTGAAGGATCCTTGTTTTGAAATGGATCCTGTAATCACGTTGAACTTCTGTTATTGACATCGTTATTGACTGTAGCGATAATTTTTGTTCTTTCTTCTTTGCTGTAGCGAATCATGATGAAAATTTAAGGCTTGATAATTAAACACAAATTTAGCAAGCTATACAGGATAATGACGTAACTATGATGCAATATTACCATGAAAATGTTCTTCTTTTAAATAAAACAAGTTTCAACTTCATAACGTTCTTAGTTTTTTATTTATTAACAAATTAAAAGGGTTACTTAATTCTGAAACACCCTGTATTTACTATTCTGCATCACTCCACACTAAAGTAAATAAAGTAGTAAGTAAATTAACATTAAATTCATTTTAAACTATCATTCCAGCCCTTGACATCCACTTAAGGGTCGCAAAATTGGAAAATGAATTCGTCTTCATGAATAAAAATTGTTATTTTATATAATTTTATCTCATTCTTAATATGGCAGGGGAGACACATGAATGTATTTCGTCACAATTAAGAGTGATGACGCATTGCTGGTCCGGTACTGTGAAGTGGAAAGATCTTTGCCAAATGTTTTTTGAGGCGACTTCTTGTGTAGAAAATATGTATGTACAAATTTGTTTTTTAATTTCTACAGAGAAAATTCTGATTAATATAAAAAGTGTTTTTTTTCTATGCATCTCCATGTTCAAAAAATATCAATGAACAAATTAATTTATTAAATCTTTGAAGAGCAAGTGGCATTATCTGGATAGTACTTGTAGTAATGTGGTATCATTAAAGTCTTGTACAGATAACTTGAAAAGAGCGCCTGCTGTCCGGTAAATGACAACACGAAATTATTCGGTTTGATAAATTTATCAATAGCAGCATCTTTGTGATAATCGAATGGCAAAAAATTTGAACGAAATTTATCCCATGAAATAAGCGTCCACTCGCGTGCAAGAGATAGCGTTTCATCAGACTACCGTACTTCCTAAATTGAGCTGATATAAGGTATCAGATTTATTGTGTTCTTTCGATAATTTTATCAATTATTTTTTAATAATATTTTATAGAATCAGTAGGACAAGACGTGGACAAGAAATAGAGTTGTATGTGCAGAGACCCCGATGGCAGTGAAATATAATGATTAAATATATAAATGATAAATTAACTATACAGCACTCCATTTCCGTTTAATTACAATAAACTTTTCAACCAAATAATGACTGTTTATTTTCTTTCGCATCATCGTTTATATTGAAACTTTTGTCGAAAGCTAAATTTGTCGAAATATTTTCTTTATCTAAAGTGGTGGACTTTTTGATATCAATTAAATCGCAAATAGAATTGTAACTTGTCACTTTTTTGTACTAGTCGAGAGTAATTAAGCTTGATGCTAAAATCCTATAATCTGACGTGTTAAACTTAAATTATGAAACTTCGGGATGAATTTATCATAGAAATCGGCATGTAAAGTTAACACCCGCACGTGCCGTGTTATTGACTCACGTATGATGCTATTATTGTTAGTACAACTCACTTATATAAGAAATACAGAATTCAAAAGGACTAATAATTTTAAAGACGTATTAGGAGTGATAATGAAAAGGCAAACTCACCCACTCACCCAGTCAATCGACTTTCTCTGGTGCATAAGTACGATCCTTACGGATATCCTATGGAGACTTGATCACTTAAGGCCGAGAAAGATTATATCCCGTCATGTTGAACCAATACTGGGGCTGTGCCAGTGTATATAACATATAGAATAGGACAGAAGTGTCGGCATTGAAGAAATAGGCCCATGGCCTGTTGCCGATTCATGAACTTTTCGTGACTTGATTCACGAGGGATCCGGCCTTTGGAACCCGATCTTTCCATAACTGACGATTGATTGAGATAGGTGCTGGACTTATTGCCTGGTCCGTAATTTGCTAGGCATTTTAAGACTGAACATATGCTCCTGCATAGCTTCGTCTAGTCTGTTCTTGAAGATGTTCATACTCGGAGCGTCAAAGATGCTATCAGGGAGGCTGTTCCACATGTCGGTGACTCGAAGCGAGAAGAAATGTTGTCACATGGATGTGTTACGAAGCAGTTTTTTTAGTTTATAGCCGTGGCCCCTGGTGTTGGTTCTTGTTTCAAATTCTTGAAACAAGACATTCTATGCTTGAATGTTATATACACTGGCGTGAGACTGCCACAAATGAGGCTGTTTAACGTTGTTAAGCTGTCTCATTCGTACTTTCATTTACAGATCATAATCAATTTTATACGGAAAATTTTATTCGTATTTTATTTCGGCAAGTGACAAAGCACCACTAACTACCTTAATTTCATATGCAGCTTTAAAGAAGTTTCTTCTTCTCAGTTAGCATGAAAAACAATCTACAGGAGCACAATTTGGTATATATTTGTTCATTGACCATTCAACGTAAAAAGTTGTTTGAACAATCTGGGAGAAATAGTTTTTATTGTTTTTTTTATCATGTGATAACATATCGCAATAATGAAACTATGACTAGCTACATATATATTGAAGAATTTCTCTGAATTGTGAATTGCCGCATCACGTAATTTGTAAATCATTAATTATCGGCGGTGTGAATACACTAGCACAAATGAGTGAATGGATGTTAATACTAATCAAATCGATAAATAATAATATTACCAGTTCAAAACAATAAGAAACTATTCGAGTGTTAAATAACGTTTAAAAAGAATTTGAATGAATTTTGCTTCAATAATCAAGGAACTCAAATAACGCTTCGTGGGAGGCGTTCGCGATAAGATAACATTAAAGTTTTATAACCATTATCGATGCATGTCAAAGATTTGTACTGAATCCTTATCGATGCGTCAAATAATACTAAAAACATTCTTTAAATAAACGCTCACCGGTGTACTCATTTATTTGCGAGTTAGACTATTTTTTATAGTTTCCGCGAACATGCATATGCACAGTTATTATACACCTTATCTAATCTTTCACCTATCGGGTATTACTTTCCAGATACGCAACATTTCATGGCCAATAAAGAGAGGTCATTGTGGAGCTATAAAAAAGAATGCAATGTTGATATTTATAAATCTATTATTAATTAATATCAATCTACTCACTCAATCTATATTTTATATTCCTACCTAACCATCTACCATAAACTATTCGCCACCAACTTACACAATAAGATCGAACAAAGAACGAATCCCTTTTCGAAGCAGTAATTTATTTTTTCAAAGACAGCCGCCTCAGACCGAGTTTCGTACAGCATAAATGAGTCGGTACCACACCAACGGCAAGCAAGAAGCGGACGTGTTCCATTGTAGATATAGTGGGCTATATCTCCAATCAAAATTGCCTGTACTGATAACACGAACAGAGGGTTATCAGCTCATTACTGATAACTTTGTTATTAGTTAACATGATACAGTTATGGACGATGGTCGTACACCCAGTTGTCCGTGTCAAGGTGCCTAACCTTGATTTCATTCGCGCGGCTGAGTGGGTGGAAGCATTTATAGATAAATTGTCCTAACATCATGAGCCAAGATATTATTTGCAAACGTTCATTGACGTGAATCTTTTGTAAAAAAATACTATAATAACGGCATTACGATCTTTTCGTGAACTTGTGCATTATAAAAATTAACCAAAATCGTGTCCACGAAAATCTTAATGATCGCTTTCATAGAAAAGAAAATGGGTTCCATCCTGCCTACGGAAGCCTACGCCGATTATTCATGTAATTTATGTTATAAAATCCATGCTGAAAATACAAATGTACTCTTACGATATAATCTCAGCGACCGTGACAGATGTTAGTCCTTGAAAATAGCGATAGTTGATCTGCACTCACATGTTTATCTACTGCATGCACGTGTAAAAAAATAGCATACATTCTTCGTAACTATCAAAACATTAACATAAAACAGTTATATTTTCAAAATGGAATCCGATTATGAATGTTCATACATCATAAATATCTCTCTTCAAGGCGAATGATTTTCGTTCAGCATTACCTTTCGATGCAAAATTTTAGCAATATAGATATTGTGTTAGGTATTTTTTTGATGAGATTAACTATAATAGACATCTGCACCAGAGTTAAAATGATCACTTTTCTTTCAAAATAAGCCCATATTTTAGCATCACATGCATTGGATGACAAAGCTACCACAAAGAAAACGTGCAACGCAATGAATGCAATGAATAAATGAAAACCATATATTTATGTTATTGTGCTAAAAATTTTCATCTAGTACTTGGCCCCAAATTATCTTACAACAAGTTTAATTAAGGCCTTGTGCGTAGCTATTTTGCATTCATAAGTTGGTCTGTTTCTGAAATCCATGTGATGTAATCAGAGGTGGGCAGTAGCGCGTTACATATGTAGCGGTAGCGGCGCTACATTGAAGCAATTGTAGCGGTAGCGTTAGCGCCCGCTATACTGTATTTAGAGCATGTAGCGGTAGCGGTAGCGGCCGCTACATTTCAAAGTAGCCCTGCCCAGCTCTGGATGTAATAGATGATAATTTCCAGGGACACGCTGCAACACGTCAGCGGACTGCACTGAACCTTACATTCAATGCGAGGCTGAAATTTGTTCATGTCCTGATGGCGAAAATAGCAGCATCATCACTGGTGAGTTTGTGTCAGTTAGTCAGCAGCTTAGCAATAATATAGATAATATATCTCAGTAATTTAGAGCGATTGTTAAAATTTGTAATTTTCAGAAACGAGCTTTGCTCGATCTATTCCAGAAAATTATAAAGTCAAATGAAGGTGAGACTTTCTTGAGATGTGAGACTATAGCTTAGGAAATATGTCGATACAGTGTATTCTGACTTTTTTTCACGTGCTTACATCAACCAAATTCTAAATCACAGAAGAAAATAATAAAGCATACTGTTTTATACGAGATGGTTCGTAAAATGGCTGGGAAACTTTATACGTTCTCCAAAAACACACAAAAAAGCAGATGGCCAAGGAATGCATTGAAATTTTGTGTCGCCATTTTATGTACCAACAGTCTGATATGTTTTTTTGTCCAATTGCAGTCCGTCCAAAGTACAAGTTAACACACATTGAAAGAGTCTTCGAACGTTGATTACGTTCATAAAATTTGGTAGGAAGCACCCTTATGACCTTCGCACGCTGGTCATAGCGCACAACATTTTAGAAACGTTTTCTAGATTTATTTAATGAATAAACTGCGTAATCTTCAATTGGTCGAGTTTGCTTGAACGTGTAGACTATTTCAATGAACTTGGTTAGAGTTGCTGTTTCGCTATTGCTGGATGATGATCGGAATTATCGGAATACTTAGACTTGTTGGTCCCGAATTTTTGTCATACGTGTGTGCCGCAAAGTGAAGGGCGCAGCGATATTATAATGGGTTGCATTGGTGTATTTTTTCATAAACTTGTCTGTATACCATATACTATGTTAATAAGTTAATAGTTGTAGTTGTATTATCGGGTCATCCTGTCAAAAAATGGACCATGTTCTGCTTTTGTCGACGGTATCGTTAGTACAATAGTGTAATTCCGATCTTTTTCTATACCACTCAACAGCATGCATGGGACCGAATATAGTCCAATTAAACATACTCTTAATACTTTTTCTTTAATAAAAAAATATTCATTTGATGCTCTTCCTTTTCAATCCTATCAAATCCTGTCATGATTGTATATTCATCCCCTAGCATCCACCCTCACAATTCTATCCTCTCACCCCCCCCCCCCCTCAGGATGCTCTCCCAGCGTCTGGCATGACGTCGGGGCGGCCACGTTGCGCTTCTTGATCGTCCTTTTCATCGTCCTTCTGTTGGTCCTCATCTTGTACATTATGTTCAGTGATTCATGCAAGTAAGAATTTATCTATCCTTCTGATTACTATATGCCTGAACTATGCAAACTTATAATTAAAAAATTACTAAGATTTCTGATGACCATATAGGCAAAGCCTGAACATTTTGAACTTCCATGAAAACTTTCCACTCGCGTAGGAGTAGTATTCATTTTTTAATAATTAATAATTACACTAATTAATGAAACATTAAATAACTCTAAACGCGTAATGAATAGTTTCATATGCGCAGGTTTTTTCGGAGCCGTTGCCGGTGTTGTGTCACGAGTACCCGAACCTCAATCCCACCAACCCAGGGGCGAGAAGACGACAGTATTTCCAAAGCATCGGACAGCCCTCCAACATACGATGAAGTCGAGAAATTCCCGCCATGTTACTCAGAAGCCGTCAAAATGGTAGGTCTTGGTTGATTAATCAGTAATTAGCCGTAGACTAAGGTCGATCAAATTTTTGTTTATTCTCAGTTTTTCTAAATAGTTTCCAAGAATCTCCTTTCATGTCATATGCATTCACTGTGTATATTGAACTTCGGCCTAATTTTATGCTCAATATTTCGAAACAGTTTTCTATTTTGGTGCAGTTTTTTCCTGATTTGTATATGGTTATTTCAATTCGTGTTCATTCAATCAGAGAAATACAAACATACGAGTTTACTGGACTCATCGCATCTAATTTGGTTCATCAATTCAGCTCAATAGTCTATCAAATAATTTATGTATATGAATACCTTATAGCTATATTTTTTATTCATAGCTAATTACCTATGTAAGGTTTGATGATAAATCACTTACGGTTGTAGCAGAATTGTCAACATTGCCAACACTGTACATCCCTTTATAACCGATATAAGGTAGGGATAATACATCATGCAGTTATGGTTGCAGTACAAAATGGTCATTTTGCTAACACTGCAACACTGCATACATGTAGTCCCCTATTTTAACCTGTGTAAGGCAGGATGATGAATCAGTTATGGTTCCTGAACAAAAGAAATGGTAACATTTCCAACATTGAAGGTCCCTGTATGCCCCCAGACACTGTAGGTCCCTGTATGCCCCCAGACACTGTAGGTCCCTGTCTGTAGGTCCCTGTATGCCCCCAGACACTGTAGGTCCCTGTATGCCCCCAGACACTGTAGGTCCCTGTATGCCCCCCAGATGTGCATCAAAGTTCCCTGCGACGGCGGTGAGTCCCCCGACACCGGGCCCACGTCACCCACAGAGGAGTGCGTCCTGCACATGTGACGTCTTATATTTACTTATTATAATTTTATGAAATGTTTTATTCCTAGAATTTCTTGCGTATTTAATTTAGCAATTATAAATATAATTTTCGATTGCAAATAATCAGCCTAAATTATACTCGTTTTTGATGAATAATTTTCCGCAATGTGATCTAGGACAAAATACGTTATTCAAATATGAAATTATTTGTACACTAATCTCTTTTAGAGTTAATAAAAAAACTTATATAAGGCTCGGAAAAGAAAGTTATTCCATGAAAGTCGATTATAACGGTATTTTTTTCATTTTATGGATGATACGTAAACCTACACCTCAAAAATGTGTGTCCAGCATATGAAACTATTTAAAAACAATTAAACATAAGATTAAGTATTGGAACTTTCACTGCAGTCGTCGATTGATCACTTTATTCCTGTAACATTTAAAATAAATTTCATAAATTTTAAATTAACTGAAAATTTAATAAAGTTTGCGAGGTCGCTGACCGAATTATATTGATTAGCTATATGGAGTACTGGACACGAATTTTACTTTTTGAGTAGGTAACAAAAATTCCTGATTCTCATTGCAGTGAAATTATAGCAGTGGAAAGTTAGAAGTTCATTCTTTCTAACTAATTAACTATCCCCATCATTCATTCTAACCATCCGTGTTTATAGATAAAATGAATGACTGGTTTTAATTTTCAAACTAGCCAGATATCCTCAGATCATGAGAACGTTTCCTGCAATTTGTAGTGCTATAATGAACCTTGAATTGAGTCTCGGAAATGTATTGATTAACGTGGCGATAGCGACTTCTTATATGCGAAGTGTAGATCTGGAAAAGATTGATGGCAGAATTAGTTGTTCAGCCAACCATTCTTTAAATTTCTTGAGTCATGCATGGCTTTTATTGACTCTATGTCAATAAAATTGTAGCCTTATAAATTCTTTAATATGTAACTAAAAGTATTGAATGACTTTATTTTGATCAATATAGTTTAGCAATTAATATGACACTTAAGCTATAGAGTTCATCTAAACCTGTATAGCCCCTATCCGAACCTATATATAGCTCCAAATTAAAATTTTATTCGTTCAACAGGTGTGATAAATAAGTACGAACTATTTTATTATAGAATTACATCGGGTTTAATGACTGGTAAGTTCACAATTAAACTAATGTTTTTTTATGTTATGCTCCATTTTTTATCACCTAACCTAACCTAAGATACAAGGCTAGCTCAAGTTGCGTCTTTTAATTAAAAAGTGGTGCAGACAGCAAATCACAATATATTAATATTATCAATTATTGTTTCATAACGTATTCTGCAATTTTAAATAATTCACCAATAAATATTAGGAAATTATTTGAAAAGCTTTTTCATTCAAGTCCGCATTTGTTTATCATGATCTATTGATCTATAGACTATAACGTTGTATAATTAATTTATCACAGTTTCGTTTCCTTAGATGAACCCTCGCAATCATTGATGCGTTTAGTTATTGTTATACAACTTTTTTTTTGTTTGTAGCAACCATGGCACATGACAATGGTGTCGGCATTGAGGATTAAGCCCTATCTGGTCTGCTGCCGATAGGCGACATTGTAGAATTTTCACTGATAGCTTGGTCTCGATGCCGCTACTCCTTGCTCAAACCTGGCTGTTTTAGCTCCCTAAGCCTGTACTTTTAGGAATAAAACGATAATAAAATGCTAAAATGTACTCGCATCTTTCCTGGGCCCAGTGTCAGCGAAACCGCCAAATCCTCCCTGACTACGATGCAACTTGGTAAGGTTTAACACTTTAACTCAGTGTATCACCTGCTGCCGTGCAAGTAACAGTTGGTCCCTGACAGCTCCGTGCAGTAGTCGCGTGCGGCTTGTCAGTTCAGGTGTAGACGAGTTTCCCTCAACTCAAGCGTGTCGAAGTGCAACGCCTTCCTTCATAACTCACGTTACTCAAGAAAGTTTCGCTGTGTCACATACCATTCATTCATCATCGTAACCATTAATTCCGTGCTATGTAGTTTCATTTGAAGTTGGCTATATTTATTTGAAGAACATCAAAACACATTTCTTCGGTAAAAATAGGAGGAGAATATAATTTTAAAGCTAGAAACTGTTACTTAAGCCACTTGACTATTCTGAATTTATATATTGAGGTTTTTATCGGTATTATTTGATAAGTTTCTTTAAAATAACTGTTTTACAAATATTTCCAAAAACTGCTTAATGCCGTAAAGGAAGACCCACGGATTTATATAGAATATCTATAAGACTATAAGCACGAAGACAAAAATTAAGTAAACGGTGAGTTTATACGGAAAATAAAAAATCAACTGCTCGTGGATATAAGTTGGGAAATTTATACACCACTCTTAACCTTTTGAAACATTTATGTTAGAGCGTAGAAAATTTTTAGCTGGAGCTCTTCCATAGCATCTAACTCCCTGCAAACGGCTTTTGTGGAAACCTTGGCTGTTGAATCTTTCATGAAGCTCAGCTGTTATTTCAGGAATTATTTTCTCTAATACTTTGATATATAGTACGATTGCTGCTCTCAAACAATTTAAACTCTCGGCCAGACTTGCGCCTCACTGGGGACATTTTGGTTCCACCATGAATGCAGGTATTAGTTTTTATATGGTAGGCCTACTGACTAAATTTTTATACTTCTTCAACCCCGAGCACTTGAGTGATTACTGTTAACCCCTGGCTGTCATTGTAGCCGTAATTCTACCTCTTTCTTGGGATGAGTAGTAAGCCATTTTTGAAAAATGTTAATAAATATTTTTCATTTTAATGAAGTACATTTAATTTCTGTTAATACATCAATGAATATCTATAATAAACGAGAATACATTTAAATATGTAAATATCTGATTGTTTAAAACAAGCAACAAGTTATGCTGACAAACTATTAGGTGTTTACACTATTTGTCCAACTACCATGGATTGTGATTTTATTCCTTTAATTTATTTGATCAAGAACCTACATTACTTGAATCATACAACCGTCGCTTGAAAAGAATTTAGATGAATTTATATTTCAGCTAACCTGGGGCACCATGCAGCTCGGTACTCACGTGCTTGTAATTTGGCTAATTTGACACGTGAATCGAACCATTCATGCCCACCTTACGCAACCCTGAAGGTACGAACGAGGAAGTATGTTTTGCGTTCGGGAGTGTATAACGTATTTTGCTTTTATTATTATTTTCAATCTGAAGAAGTGTTGTTTCAAAGTAAGACATTTTTCAATAATAGCTAATGTATATAACCGCTAAGTGTCGGTGGGAAGCGTTGGTGCAATATTAATTCAGTTATGTTTTGTGAATTTTGTTTAATGCTTTTTCATTGGTTTTCCTCTCTTGAGTTTTCTTGGAGTGTGATGCCTCAGTCGAGGCATTTATCGCATTTCGAGTTAGCAATTAATCAACACATTTCGGTTATGTTGACAACTTCGGTCCGTCCACGGATACATCGATGCTCCGTTTTTTATTATTCTATATTTACCGAGTTCAGTCCGAACTTTCGTTATTGTAATGTACCTCCGATGAATAAGGTAAAACCAATACCGTGTTCATGAGGCTATCTAAAAAAATATAATTCAGTACTCACTGCAGTGGACAGAGAGCGCATTTTCTCGTCGACGAAAATGTGATAGTCACGGACGGACAGGCGGACAGACAGACGGACGGACATGACGAGCACAAAAGGGCACTTTTTCCATAAATGAGAAAAAGCGTTAAAAACACATTTCTTGTTAACTTGATCAAGCAGTGAAAGAGATAAGATGCTCTAATAACTGAGAAGTCTGCGTCTTTTCTCTAATTAATATCCAGAAATCATAATATTTTCTGTTCGTTCAATCGCTCGTCTAAAAATCAAATTTATACGTCCTTTCCAATTTACTCTTTCTGTGTTTACAATCTTGAAAAAAGCTCACGTTTAAGTAGATCTTAGGAATGACAATGCTTTCTTACACTAGCCTCAGAAAGGTGAATTTCTGCGTATTGAAATGTCTACTTGGTGGGGCTTGGTCTGCTTGTTGAACCCACCAATAATTGATGTTCAATATATATACTTCATATTTGATCAGTTCGCAGTCTCTACAAGACGTTCAGATCGCACAGCTGGCTTTGGCTTTAATGCATCAGCGTGGACGTCGTGTGCGTGATAGCGTTCCATCCTGACACGATATTCCCAGGCGTCGTCTTGAGGGATATTTATTGGCTAATTGATTCATGGCCATCAATGGCAAGTATGAATGGGAACTCCGATGCTGTTGATAAGTTATTTTCTGAGAGTTTTTCTGTTTTCTTTTCCCCATAGGCTCGTAATAGGCGATATCACACTACATAATCAGTGTAGACGACACTCTTATTTACAGTATTTGACGAAGCTTTTCATCAATTGAATATATACACTACCTAGAGATTAAACCTCAGCCAATTTGGTTTACTTACTGATGAAAATTTGCGTGCAATGAATGGCACTGGTAATTCCGGAAAGAAATTTCACGATATATTCATTTTTATTAGAAGACACTGTACATTCATTAGTCATTACTCGTAACAACATTCAACACGTTTCTACATGCAGTACTTGCTAATAGAAATATTGACACCAATATTGACTTTGTAGTTGGTCAACCGAACAGAAAACATTTTAAACATTCTGTCGATATATTTTTTTCGTCCGTTTTCAAAGACGATTTGCGGTCCTAATCTGAAAAATTGCCATTATAAATACATTTAATTGAAACGTCAATTCCTATTTCAAACAGCTTAACCTTTTGTCCTACTTTATATATAAATATCATTGATGGCTACTACATTTCAAGATATCCTGCGACAATTTATTTTCCGATTATACAGTAATGTCGTTTAATTGTTTCCAGTAAATGTAGTTAGGACGTAAAATAATTTAATCTGAGAAGTAGCATTGCGACTAAATATATTTCGATTATCTCACGCCCAATAATTAGTCGATGAAACAATCTTTTTCTCTGTATGATCGGCACAGTTAGTTTGTGGATTTTCCCTCGACCTTCGATGTTTTCCCACGCGCAGGGAACGAAAAATTGGGTAGAATGAACGGTGAGCTAGCGTGAGGTAGCGAGGGACATTTACAACAAACCACGTTCTCTAACGACATACTTGAACCACAGACCTTAATTTTTTTTTAAATTGCAGAACATCCACAGCTTATTGCGAGATTGAACCGCCTTATTTGCTATGCTTATTATTATGACAAGCTGTGTATTTACTATGAGTATTTTCCATTGTATTTCACAAAGTAATTTTCACAAAACTAGATCGGTATTTGAAGCAGTGACAATCATGACGAGGCAGAACAGATGGCCAGGTGATGTTTATAAGAGTTGTATAGTACAGCACACATGGTGGCGCGCCTGAGTCTAGCACGTGGCTCGAACGGTTGCTCACTGTAAACCTATATAGACACAAATCCAAACCTGATGCCGCTGTGTATTTGGAGATGTGTGATTGATGCTCGTGGGGGGACATACGTAGAACGTGTGTCTGTTTAAAGCGGACATTCGTTTTGTCGGATATATCAGAATAAACGTGTAATAAATATACACTTAGAATGGAGGAAGATCATGCATTTTACTTGAATTCAAGAAGTTTTGAAATATAAAATCGTAATACTCACATGAAGCATTATGCGCATCAAATAGCTTAAGATTTGGTCCCTTAGTTCAAGGTAACGTAATAATTCTTGAACATCAAACTTTTTTGCGGCTGAACGCGCATACGCTCACCACCTCGCTGGATGATGCAAGACCTGATGTAACGCAGCTCGGTCCCAATTGCTGTCTGTCTTTCATCATTAATATCAGTGATGACTCTCGTGACGCTCTACATATGCTTCAACGATGACCTCTAATGCGGAAATAAGACATATTGTAGCAATTATTTTGGGAGCGCTTCATTTGATAGTTAATGTAGCATAAGAATAGTTTGACCGGATCGTCTTTTCTTACGCATGGATATCTTGCGAAATGAAGTTGCTTAGCATGGTGCTTATACGCGTTTGTTATGCGTATACGCTTCACTTAAAAAATATGCTATATTCATGAGTTCAAATGCTAAAGTTTATGATTAAAATAATTTATAAATTATTTATTAATAAAGTTTGATAACGCGTTACGCGATTAACTCCATGCTCACAGTATCATTCACCCTAACGAAATTTGGAGGCATGCGCGACATAAATCAGCTTCTCTGTGTGTGTGAAGCACGTAAATCAGCTTCTT